AACAAGTACGGCTGGGTATGTTTCAAAGAAGCGAAAGGCAGTTGATGACTTGGGAGACCTTGTCGAGGATGACAATCTTGAAGAGCGCCTTGTTAGTCGCACGCTTAAGGAGGCAATCCCAGAAAAGAAGGAATTCAAAGTTGGATGCAAGGATTACACGAATATCAAGTTGCCCTTTGAAAATGGACTATCTTACGTTTCAGGATATCTTCTTGACAAATGCCTCGAAATTCACTCTTGCGATACATGTGTTGCTTATTCAAAGGAGTGCAAAATATTAACGCAGAATAATTTCTTCACCCATTTCAAAGCGTACAATGTCAAATATAGTACATTCGGTAACCTGAACACTCCAGAGGAGGAATTCTTATGCTTTGTTTATTTTATGGAGGAGACGATTCTCGAAAAATTCAACTTTTATGCAACAGAAAATCCAGCAAGTAAATTTATTCACCACATTGACGGTTACAATTATCAACATCCTTGTTCTGAATTCCCCTATGATTATCTTGTTGATTTGTATGTCCGTTTCAGAATATTTCATATACTGAAAGATAACAACTTAGCATTCAAAGCAAAGGTAAAAGCTAAAGAAGACCAGAAATTGAAACAATCGAACCCTGAACCGGATGAGAATCGTGATCCTAACAAACCCACCCTTAAAGCACCTCCACGGAAAATGAAGAATAAACGTAATCAAAAAGTCTTAAATGTTAAGCACATTTAAGTAATGTCTGCGATTTTACTTATTTCTGCAACAAATTCACTTATCTGGGCAGAAGATGCTCCTTTATACTTTTGTCTCCTATCATAGTGTTCAAAAGACTGTTTCTGTGGGTGTCATTTTACCCATCAAATTAGGAAGAATTTATTTGTCAACGTAATAACTTAAAACTATCGGTGCTCATTCCATGTGCATCCATTTATATTTATTGGGTTCATTTTTAATTATGACCAATGCAATTTTTGTTGAAAGTCATAGCAATATTAAGGACGTGAATCTCACATTTGCTATAATTTGTGCCCATACTTATGCATTATGTAATGCAACGTCTAGCATCATATTGTTGGTTTCACGTTGTTGCTTAATGTTTTTTCTTATTGAACTAAGCAGTCATAGGAAATCAATTATTCCTAAGGTTCACACCTAAATTTTGTTTAATGTACCTACTGCAGACGGAGATATTCCATTTGTAAAATACTAGAAACATTTTCCTAGAACTGCAAGTCTGTATGTTGCCTATTTTACGGTATTTTTTAACAGTCATTGTTGCTCAAATTTATTTATTTATTACGTATTGTGGCCTAATGATACAAATTGTTTAGCTGATTTGCACACTTAGCAGTTGGTGCTCTTGTTATTCTTCTCAGGAATACTGCTCAGTTCAAAACACTATTCAATTTAAGCTAATTTTTGGACTGAATAATTTTATGGCTTCTCTTACCTCATTAAAAATTATGCCGGTGCAAGACTTACCAGTTAGTTAGTCAATGCTCAAGTGAGCTCTGTGTAATTTAAGTTAATTTTTTAACGGCATTATTTTATGGTTCCTTTTGCCTCGTTGAAAATTATACTGGTGCAAGACTTGCTAATTAGTTAGTCAATGCTCATTTTTGCTCTCTTTAATTTTAGGTACTTTTTTGACTGAATAATTTTATGGTTTCTGTGATTACCTCACTGAAAATTATGTTGATGCAAGACTTACCAATTAGTTAGTCAATGCTCGTTTTTGCCCTCTTTAGTTTTAGGTACGTTTTTTTTGAATAATTTTATGGCTTCTCTTACCTCATTGAAAATTATGCCGGTGCAAGACGTACTAGTTAGTTAGTTAATGCTAAAGTGAGCTCTGTGTAATTTAAATTAATGTTTTGCCGGCATTATATTATGGTTTCTCTTACCTCATCGAAAATTATACCGATGCAATACATACTAATTAGTTAGTCAATGCTCATTTTTGCTCTCTTTAATTGTAGGTACTTATTTGACTGAATAATTTTATGTTTTCTCTGATTACCTCATTGAAAATTATGCTGATACAAGACTTACCGATTCGTCAGTCAATGCTTATTTTTGCTCTCTTTAATTTTAGGTACTTATTTGACTAAATAATTTTATGGTTTCTCTGATTACCTCATTGAAAAGTATTCTAATACAAGACTTACCAATTAGTTAGTCAGTGCTCATTTTTGCTCTCTTTAATTGTAGGTACTTTTTTGACTGAATAATTTTATGTTTTCTTTCATTACCTCATTGAAAATTATGCTGATACAAGACTTACCAAGAAGTTAGTCAATGCTCATTTTTCCTTTCTTTAATTTTAAGTACTTTTTTGACTGAATAATTGTATGGTTTCTCTTACCTCATTGAAAATTATGCTTATGCAAGATTTACCAATTATTTAGTCCAAACTCAAGTGAGTGCTGTGTAATTTAAGTGAATTTTTTGCCTGGCTAATTTCATGGTTCCTTTTACCTCCTTGAAAATTATGCCTATGCAAGGCTTACCAATTACTCAGTCAGTGTTTTTCTTTATAGTCTAATCGTTAGTTATGAAATTACTACGTTATTCTCTTTATGTTGTGATGTCTTGTCCATAGTTGCCATAATTTCGTTAGTGTTAGACTTTCGTTTGTTGCATTTTTCTTAGTGATTTATTCTGAAACTCTACCTAATAGATTAATTTTCTTTAATTTGTATGTAAATTTTGTATTTTTGCCCTTGCAATGTCATACTTAGCTACTGAAATTCTGAAAATACTCAGGATTCCATTTTTCTCAATGAGTAACATTTATCCATGGTTCAAATATGATGGTTCATGTAGTATTAAATGTAAAGTTTCCTAAGCTCAGATGGATAGTTTATTCAGCAGGGTTACAATTTATTGTCAGTAGAAGAGCCATTGAAGATACTGCAGCGAACTTTAGATAGTACTGGTAGTTCTGTCTTTTTACGTCAAGAAAAAGTTAGTTCCGTGCACAACTCTATCCCCTGGTTACTTGCTATTCGTCTGAGCGATTAAAGTACGTTCCTCCTTATGAAGTATTGTTCTCTCTCTCCATCATCTATATTATTTCATTAATTACTGTAAATGCAAGGGTATTGATTGACATGGCATCCTTCAATTTTGTTATGAATAATTTTCTTACCCCTTGTTTCTTTTTTTGTTCTGTTTTGTATTACTAATTTGTTTCTTGTATGATAATTTTATTGTGCTTAGTTATCAATATCGTTAAATTACCTCCTTGAAGAATGTTGTTTGGCATTTAATTCTTGTTCCGTTGTAGGGACTGTTTCTTCTTGTCGATTGTTAATAATATGTCTATGTGAATATTTGCCAACAATAAATATAAAACACTAGGTAGCGAAGTCAGTGGCATAGCACGGTGAGTCCTAGGGGCCTAGATTGTTCAAGAAGAAAATTATTCTTAAAGGTTCTCAGGATTTGCTTACCTATGAACCCTCCAAATTAGTAAATTTTGGACCTCATACCCCTTCATTCAAAATTTCTCAATACGCTGGTGAGAAGAGCTTTGTATCAATCAAAGAATCTCTTTTGCAATTGTTTTGGGTTCCTCATCTGTATAGGTATATGCCTTGTTTTCTCTGCCTTCTTTTACATATTCACCTGTCAAGTGCGAAATGTGCGCTGCTTGTTTTTAAGTTTCCTCTATAAGTCAAGGTATTATGTTCAGCAATATTAAACTCACCTGCTTGGTGCCTTTAATTCCACAAGTAACAGGTTATCCGTCCATTTTTTGTTTAAATATTTATTATCATCAGTAACATACCATTTCTCCGCTTAGTAGAATGAAGTAACATTTGAAATTTAGTTTTGATAAGGAGACTGCTGATTCTTGTTACCTACTTACTTGTGTTCAGATTATTCAGTCAAATGTTTGTGCATTTTTTTCCATTCAGAATTAAATTACTTTCCATTAAAAGCAATGCCTTTTGAGTATCATTTATTTACGCCACTCTCCTAAGTACTTCTTTTTCCAAAACATCAACTTTACTCCTTCAATTCTAAACGGCAAGTATGTACTTAGAAATATCAGATCCCGAGGAGAATTCAATAATAGTACCTACCTGTCTCCAAGGTTTCAAAGGTTTCAGATAGATCTACCTGATCTAATAGAGAGAAAATTGAGAGTAAGCTAATTTTTGGCGGAGTATCCTAACTCTCGTTATGCCATCAAGCACTGTTTGCTTCTAAAATCAGGTGACTACCGATACTCTTGAAACGTTGATGGGTGAAATGCACAAAATTAACAATTTTGGGGCTTTTTTGGTTTCCTTTGGTACCTTCTACTTTGATTTTGGTAAAATGAGCATCAGTGTTCATTTAAATTTGTTATGAATAGTCATGAAGATTAAACATAGTGCTTTGTAACAACGTCCAGGTAACAATTTTCGAGTTAAAAAGATAAGTGAAGATAGGAAATATGAAATAATTTGAAATCTGGTACATGCTTTTAATTTATTAAGTCATCATTTCATCCGATCATTTCACAATCAGCCCATATTAATGAACACTCGTTGAATCTTTTTCATGGATTAATTTTAATGAGAGTAAAATCAATTGATTCATTAAAATTATTAACGTTGCATATAATTAAAAAGATAAGTGAAGAAAGGAAATATGAAATAATTTGAAATCTGGTACATGCTTTAAATTTATTAAGTCATCATTTCACAATCAGCCCATATTAATGAACACACGTTGAATCTTTTTCATGGATTAATTTTAATGAGAGTAATAAAATCAATTGATTCATTAAAATTATTATCGTTGCGTGTAATTAAACTCGACAAAACCCGATTCGATTTCCCATTTGAGAAGCGTCAATTCAAATAAACCGCCGTTCACTTTATTGTAATTGTTGGCAATCTTGCACTCATTTGACAACAATGCAGACAGCCGGAAAGTACAAACAGTGATACATTGGAGTTTACGGGAGTGAACCTTCTGTTGGTGAAGCCTATATATTCTGTGCAAGCGTGCGGCTGGCAGTTGTGTCTGTGCTGTGTCCACTTGTGACTGATAAGAAAGCTTAGACGAGACGCACGTTGTAACGTTGATTTATTCGTATAATTTTTTCAGTTTGATCCTTGTGTGATTCTTTTGGTAAATACTTTAGTAACTAGTTTCGAGACCACATAATCTTCAGCGTAATTGTCAAAAACCATAAATTCTCTTCTCACTTGGAAATTTACCTTTATTGGCAAGTATTTGTTTCTAACCATCACAGACTTACATTAGCAGTCTGATCTTGTTGACTGAATAAGACCAGACTAAAGAGAATTATCAAGTATTGGCAACCCAAAAGGTGATTAGTTTTGCTTTGATTCCATCCAACATAGAGAACGCCTGCCACAGTCTATATCCTAATCCACACAGGTCTGTCATTCCTGAGGACGAATTTTGGAACTCTACTGCGCAGAAACGAAGTATTAAGTGCCTGCAATGTATTTCTTATGGAAGCACCCATTGTGACGTAGCATTGAGTGCTGCCAAGTTAGGGCCGGGCGGGGAAGTGGATTTCAAAAGGATGCGCAATGACTGACCTGTGTAGATTGGTCTTGTACCGATCACATAACTCATAGGCACTGTGAAGTATACTACTTCACGATGCCTATGCATAACTCTATTCCTCCTTACTATTGCCTCATCCAGTTGAATCAACACATAGCCTCAATAGTCAGGCTGCAGGAAAGTTCACTCTTCCTATGATGGTGCCATTCCCTGGAAAAAATCTAAAGGGTTATACAGGAAGTACTGTGCTGTAAAGCTTAAAAGTGGAAGCTGCAAAAAATCATTTGCTTGCTTTTAGCTTTGAGACGAAAGCGGTAATTGACTGAAGCGGCATTTTTGACCTGAATGAACATAGGCAGACATTCCATTAATCTGTGATAAGGCTCTTATCTATTCTACATTACATGTTGTGGGCACAAATTCTCTGAGCGGTTTCAGTTCGACCCACCAACTAAATGTCTTTATACTGTTTTCAGAATGCAACCTTTTAAATTTTTTTTTGTCTGCAATCTCCTGCTCCAGTTACTCTAAGTGTAATGTCTGATGATTGCAGTTCATCCATTTTTTCTCGGCATACTCTTTAAACTGGGTTCTCATTTCCTCTCTTCATGAAATTTTGAAGAACTAGTTTCTAGCATTTTCCAGCTTTCTAACAAATATCCCAGCCTAATAGCAGTTGAATACTTTCTGGAGTAAGGGCTCACATGCCCTGAAATTTTCATGCATCTGCATTCCTATTAAGTACTACGCTGCTTCCAATGTGTTTCTCTGTCAATCATTAGCTTTGACCTTTACATGCTTGTTCTCTAATATTTTCCAATTTGTTAGGTATTAAAGTTTAGTGTACTTTTATTAGAGTAAAAGAGTGGCAAAAATTCACAATCTTAGCAACACAGGGTCCTTTAAGTATCCTTTTAAGGGTCTTAGAAAACCACTGTTTACTAGCTCATTCTAAATGACTGCTTTCGTTTGTTTATCTATCCAGGTCCTGTTTTGAATTAGCCTAGCAATAAAATGAGTCTCAGCAATATTGGACAAAAAACGGCAGCCTCCATTTTACAGGAGCACTTGATGAAGTTGGGGCATGTTCCACAATACGATTTAGTCCGTGATGATACTGGTACGCATATTCCCACTTTTACTTACCGACTAGAGTTTAATAATGTTGTTGTTGAGGGAACTGGTTCATCCAAGAAAGAAGCAAAACAGACAACAGCTCGTTTAATGTTAGAAAAACTGGGAATAACCAGTGCGGAAGAAATGCCAAAAATTGAGCCTACTGAGGCCTTACCCATGAAGAAAGTGTGCAAGTATAATTCTGTTGGTGCATTAACTGAGTTCTGCGCCCAAATGAAAATGGCTCAAGGTCCACAGTACTTCGATGTCAGAGAGGAGGGCCCGCCCCATGCTAAATTGTTTACTGTCAGATGCAGTGTATCCCTCCTGTCAGAAACAGCAGTTGCTGGGACGAAGAAGCAAGCAAAGCAACAAGCAGCCCAGCAAATGTTGACAAGGTTGAAGAACCTTCAAGTTATTGATGACGAGAACCAAATTCTTTCGCCAGGCTCTTTTGAAGTAGTGACACCTGAAGATGAACAGCCTTTGCTCAGCGAGGATTTAAAGCAGAGAGTAATGGATCACTTTAAAGCCCTCCACTCATTTACATCACAGCAAGTTTGTGGCAGCAGTGTATCAAAATACCATACCGTATTTAAATCAGAGAACACCACTGCTTCAGAAGTTATCAGTAATCTAGTATCTCTGGTCAGAAATCCTGACGCTCCTCTCAATTACAACTTAGAGGCGCTTCAAGAGGGTAGAGAGGAACTTTTCAAAGAAGTTATTTCGGAGTTAAATGTTGAGGAGACATTCATTGAGATTCCTGATGATGAAAACCCTCAAATTCTTCTTAATGTTAGCCACGCACCTAATGTTTCCTTTCTAGCCTGTGCATCTTCTAAAGAAATAGCCAGGAAAATTGCTATTAGTCAGTATTTACAATTTATCTCTACTTTAGTTTCATAACATCTTACCAAGGCATAATATTCTGGCCTCTTAAGTTTAGAATGACCGCCTCTCTCTGCTTAAAATAGTTTCCAAATTATCCGTAGGCTTTGTATTGGCTTAAGGTCAACTGTTGCTTTGTGTAGCCACGTTCAAACTATCTGTAAGTTTATACTTCCTGGAAAGATGAGAAATGGAAGAATGAGACGATAATCTGCAATTAGGAACTACAATTTCCAGCTCATTCATAGAAACACCTTTGGTGTAAACGTTGTATCTAGACTGAGCCAGAAATGTAGTTCCCAATTGCAAAATATAGTCCAATGGGCCACTGAATAGGGTAAAAAATTTAGTACCACATCACGATAACCCTCTGATTTAAAATTTCAATTAGGGTTTTGAGAACTCATTGAAGATTTCTAAATTTAACACTTCAGTGAGGATTGGTACTGTCTGTCTTCATTAATGCTGATCTGTTTACCTAAAAACCGAAGTCAACATGAGGCAAATTCTGCACTAAAATAATTTCAGTGACCTTTACATGCAAGGACAAATTCTTTGAGTGTCTTAACATTCCGGTGCTAAGTTAGGAAGTTCTGCATGATAATATGAGAGTCAGGGAGATACTTGGTGAAACAAAACTCTAGTCATTTGCATAACACTGAAGTTAGTCTTTGACTGTTGATTGGACCTACTTAAATTCTAGCTTTTCTTCTATTTCGGATGTTTGAATCTCAATTAAACCAAGTAAACTAAAATGAAGAAACATTTTCTTTGGTACTAATTCATACCCTGTCTAGTGGTCCATTTTTCCAAGATCTCTGTGGTCTCATTTTCAGTAATCAGCAGATAGAGATCAGAATTCAATTATGTACAAGATACCACTTATATAATACATATTACTCACCTCGAAAGAGAAAAATGATTTTTCTGTGGCTGCTAGACCGTTGAAAAACTGTAACTCTCAAGCTGCAATTGTTTTCCTTAATACATGCCAGTTGTTTTATGAGCAACCCTTTTATCTCTTCAAACAGCATCTCAAAATTTTAACCCAACAGCATCATGCGATAAAGACTATTGGATTTCTGCATGACTGGAAGTATCAGAAAGTCTTTAAAAAAGTAAGTCATACTTTGGATTGATAAAAATTTAAAGTCACCATGCAGAAATTTAGAATCCGCTCTCTTTATTATAATTATATTGAAAAACTTCTCACATAAATTCCTTACTTTCCTCTCATAATAATTTCTTTTAGATTGTAACTGTAATCAATTTTTGATCAGATTCAGTCTTTTTCTGTCTCTCAGCTGAGCTGTCCTTTGATAGATGCTGTCAGTTGGAGTTAAAAATGAAGAAAGATGAAAAATTTTAGGAGTATTAGTATACAATAGTTTTGAAAAGTTAAGAATTGTCGTTTTCTCCTTACTGCCACAAGAAAATTAAGCTCTACACTCTACAATAGTCCACCAAAAATTGGCTCACTATATGTTAAGTTTGGGTGCCTTTATTGTTACCTTGTGTTAATCAACATGTCAGGAGGATTTTCAAAAGAATTTTTTTTAGATAAGTCCTTTCATTTTCAGTTGGATTCCCTTGAAAATCTTTACAGTCACTACTGAGTTTTCCAAAGCCTTCACCTTTTCATAGGTGCAATCATTATCTGCAGTAAATTTTTCCTTTGATTATCGCGCGACCATCATTTATGGGTGGACAGGGCAAAATATCCCTTTCAAACACGGTAATTTTGGATTGATAGACATACGAGGGATGTGTAAAAAATGTGTGGGGGAATTTGGGGTTGAACGGGAAAAGTATCCCTCCCAACGAGGGTTTTCATGGATAGGTAAGGAAACAATTGGTGTTGTTATGTTCTGCCTGCAGGACGGCATGGGTGTGGATGAAATGATGAATCAAAAGAATCAGGGAGATGAAGGAGTATAACCAATAACACACTGAATGCGAATGGATAAACTTTGTGTTCCAACAAGCGAGATCACAAGAATGCATATTTCTCTCGAGCTACACTCGACAGACTCAGTACCTGCATCTATGAACACCGAAAAAGCACCGGTGGATGGTGGATGCCACATGAATCACACCCACCCTCTACTAAAAATTATCACGAAGTAGGATAATAAAACTAATACCGCATAATGAATAGTACGTGCTAAACGATAAACAAAAGCAGGAGGGAACCTAAAGTCAACAAAGGTTGCGAACAAGCTTTTATATCAAAGTAAAAACTTGGCAAAAAAAAAAGTACCTTGAAGAGGTTTAAGGGGTGTGTCGAAAAGAAAAACAACAAAATTAAATTAAAATTTTCGAGGTACATGACATGTACACGACATGTATGACATGTATTCAAATGCACACGCTTCAGTTCATTGCACATGCAACAATGTAGCAGGTTGATCGTAACTCTTAGGAACAATACCCTTAAAAATGGGCATATTTTTGCTTAATCAAATGTAGACTTCCTCACTATCCCTATAAAAATGTGTTGCAGGTCTACTTATTGTCGAAGGCTAAAGTTGCGTTATTTTAGAAATTGGCTTGAAATATTTACTTGCAATAGTCAGACAGTCTCGAAGTTTATAATAAGGCTGAATGGTGGGATATTTTTTGAAAGTGTCTCTAGCTGGCCAAACTGTATGGCACAGCCGCATTACCCTTGATGACAAAACTTTGCCCTCGGCCGTTTCTAGAGCAATAGTCTCACTCGTAACTGACAGTTAAGTAGACAGTTCGATACAGAAGACTTCCTCTGTCAGTTTGGTCTTTGGTAGTTGGCAATCGTGATAAAGCGTCAGCTGCCGCCGTATATGCACACTTTTTCTATGCATGAGCTTGTAGTTGGAAGCCTGCAGAATGACCGCCCAATGTTGAGGTCTATATCCGGTCCGGAGTGGTAGACTTTTGTCTGGGTTAAGGATGCGCTGGACGCCTGCATTATTTGCAGGGTGAATTTACGTCCCCACAGGAATCTGTGACACCATCCGACATGACATGCGGACGCGAAGCAGCTGTTCGAGAGCGGGTAATTCAAAATTGGCAGCTTACCCTCATGTACCGAGGCATCAACTCCTCTCTCCTACACTGCGGGGTTATCGGGGTTGGAGAGTTTGACTTAGCCACTCGCTTGCTTTTTCTTGGACGAAACATCGTCCTCAGAACCACCACTATCATCTACGTTCCCGACACTTCTTTCACTTTCCTTCGACATATCTTTACTGTTTTTAAAAACCTAACACACACTTTTCTAGCGAATTTCGAACAACCGATTGCGATCCACGAACTACCACTCCACTTCTTCACCGCCACTGCAGGGATCACTGAGGGGTCAAGCTGCATCAATGCCGAAGTTTCTGGAGGGGGTGGGGGTGAGTGCGAATCACATCCTTCCATTTCAAAACGATAGCCGATGGCGGTGTTGGTCATTAGGACAAGTGACGAATGTCCCGCAGAATGTGTCGACTTTCGGGTTCATCATATTACTTTTGCATGACATACGGCCTGAGAGTTTTCTAAAGCAATATCGCACGTTCTCAGACCTAATGTGATTATAGTCTTCCTATGATTCCACCTCTGTCGACACCACTGAGGTACTGGTATACTTCTTCAGGCCGCTCGATTTCCAATAATTCATCGCTCATTAAAACTTCCACACTGTTTCGACACAAGGGTTTGCCCTCACGCATGAAGGTTTTGATCATCTTGGTAGCAGTGTAACTAGAGAGGATAATCAAAATGCGCTTGCTATTGAATGGAACTGGGACGTTCTCTTTCTCGTAATTTGCGTCTTTGAAGAAGTCTAAATTTTAGCTCTTTTCATTCTCAGAAGCAAGTTGTACTTTGTCACAAAATGTGTGAATGGAAAATTCACCGACTGATGCTGCCTTCAATTTTAAAACTCCAAGCATTTTGAGTTTCCTTTCTGATTCCAACACTTGCTCCACAGAGACGTGGTAGTTGTAGCCACTTAGGCGACGATAGCCACCTAATCCCCACTCAATCAAATCTTTCATTAGCTTTCCAAGTAAAATGTTGTCCCAGCCGCAAGTTTCAAAAACATAATCACACAATGAAATATGAGCACCGATTGTATGTAATAAAGCTGCAGAAGTTTAAATTGTCAACTTCCTTTTGAGTTTGACCTCCGCACTAAACCCTGCCAACTCTTTAAGAAGATCTCAAAGTCACACAGGAATTTTAACTTTTCACTATTTGGCCCATATATAGGCTCGCACCATTTATCATTGAGTCGTGTGCCTTTAAAAGGATTTTTAACGTTGACCACTTTCCACCACCTAACAATCCAGCATAGGAGTATGATGGTTCCTTCCGAAACCACCATACTTCCATCCTTTCTCAAGGTTTCCAAAGCTAGGATTGGAAAGTGAATTGGGTGATGAAATCACTGAGGTGATGGAATCTATGCAAGGACTTTTCGACGTCGCTTGAAATTCTTGAATAAAAGCATCATAATCGAAAACTGGATATTTTTAAAGAGGTGAACGGTATCAAACAGTAGGTAAAGTCGTTTACTTTCATGTAGGGGATGCGGAATCAACTGTTTCAAGGTTCCACCGCAAATATTTTCATACATCTTTTTATACACTGAATTGTTATCTGCAATGAGGCTGAGCACCTTGTAGCCAACTTCATGCAGAACTTTAAGTACTTTGCGAGTAAGTTTTGTTTAAATTTCTCCATCTAGATTTCGAACAGGGATAAGTGCAACGATAACTTGATTTTTTTATTTTAAGGAGGAGGACATGAATGCTTGCAGAGTTCCGGTACAGTCGGTTGTCTTTTGACTTTCTTCAGCCATCCCCACAATTTTACCCGCTTTATATTTGACAGAGGCATTCACATAGATCTAATCGAATAACAAGAGAAAAATTTTATCATCTGCTTCAAGCAATTTGAATTTTTCTTTCATGAAAGCAATGTTGCTTGCAGTCAGTCCCGGGGTATTCTTACCGCATTTACCAAGTATCTTACGCAGGCACCGGGATGAGGCAGTATCAGGTATTTTGTTTTCCTAAGGGTTTTATAAGTGCCTGGGAATGTATAATATGGAGCTGCAGCCCATTTGAGCATGATGGTGGAGTAGCGAGGTACAGCCTTGTAGATAAGACTGAGCTGTTTGGTCAAAAATGTTAGCTTTGCCTGGACACCCTCGTCGATATCATTTTCATTTTCGATAATTTCTTAGATATGTTCAGTGAATAGATCTATCTGGTTAATAAATAACCTCTTTGTCCATGCTTTGCATCCAAACACCTTCATCTTGTCGATTTCTTCATTCAGCATCTTCTTCCCTGTCCACAGTTCTGCAGGAATTTGATTATTGATTGCAGATGAGGGACATCTATTTCGGATGAAAGTAGGTGTCGCGATGGCTTCTGCCCAAAAGTCTTTGGGGACTCCTGATTGTACCATGAGACATCTCAATATGTCCATTAGCGTGCGGTTTTGTTTTTCGGCAACTCAGTTTTGTTGTGGACACGAGGGTACAGGGGGGTAGCACTGGAGTTTTCCTCTGCTGATATGGAAAGATCTTCTCAAAAACTTTAACATCTCTGCTGATGACTATTTTCTGCAGATTAGGGTCATGAAGGCGATAACCCTTTACTCTGTCAGGATAACCAAGGAAAACTGCTTCTTTGGCTCGTACGTCTAGTTTATCACCTGTGCTACGGTACCATGCTTGACACCCAAATACGCGCAAGTAATTATAATCGTCTTCAGAGAGATTTCTTCCAAACCAGCGGCTTAGTGGAACGTCAAAATTGATGGCTGTAGAAGGTGATCAATTTCTAACATTGCTTGCCATCTTCAGTGCTTCAGTCCAAAATTTCCTTGGTAATCCTGTCTGACATGACATGCACCTAATCACATTCAGTAACGTTTGGTTTTGTCGTTCAGCAAGACCATTTTGCTGTGGGACCCTGGGAACCGATAATCTGGGCTGAATGCCACTTTTCTCTAAATATTCATCAATATATCATATTGGTATCTAAATGTTCATGTAACAAGATATATTTTTAAAAAAGAATAATGAAAAAGCGATTTTACTGCTCAATTAGCTAAGACAACGGATTAGTTTCTGCTTTTTGAAAAGTTGACTAATTGAAGTGAAAGCTTTCAAAGAGTGAATGACTTTCGCCCAGCCCTGGCAATAGACCCTGTGAATTAGTTAAAAGGTGTAATATTTTCTATTATAAGTAATTTAATGAAATGAATATATCATTTTGTTGAGCCAACAATCTTATCATTTTCATGTCCATATTTCCATTGCTACAGGGTGATCTGATCATAAGTTTTGTATGTAGAGTTGAAGTTATAACCTCTTTTCCTTTTTGAGAAATTCATATGTTTTTATATAATAGTTCATAAGTTCAATAGTTCATAATCATGGAGATAATTAGTTTTTCCATTGTGTTAAATATTTTTCAAGGATACTCAAAGCAAGAAAGATTTTCTTCTTCCTCCTATTGTTAAAGTTTATTTTTTGAAGTTTCTTAAAAAAATGTAATAAAAAGTTTCAAACTTATGAAGTATGTAAAGTTTCTCCTTTTTATCACTCCATATCATATTTCATGCTGCTTTCTCATTTACAATTTTAGAACCAACAAAATTTTGCTCGCAACTAACTGATCATAAATAAAATTACTTGAAACTCATTTCGAAAAATTCAAGAATTTAAATGAGTATTGCTTGTTTGCAGAAATGAAGTAAATGCTAGATATAGGAAAAAAATTGAGTTTAATTCCTAGTATGAAAACATTTTTGTACAAAAGTTGAAGTCAAAATTATTTCGACGACTTACGAAATAACCAAATACAATCATTGGTGGCTAACATAATCCAAATTTAGGAGTGAGTGAGAGAGACATGATAACAGATCATAAAAACAAATGAAACAGAGCGGTACAAGCAGCATATAGAAAAGACAGAAGGATAAAGAACTGATGCTAATGGCAGTAGAACTTAAGATAAGTTAGCAGTTATTTCTCAAACACGAGTTCCTCATATTAAATAAATGCCTCCTGCCTTTTTGCAATCAATCATCATCTGAGGAGGAAACAAATCACAAGCCTTTAGGACAAGAGCACAGATAGCACAGATGAAGGAGAAAACAGAAAAAAGGATGAGAGTATTGTCATGGCCTAATTTAATACATGAACATTTACCTACAGATCTCAAAAGGAGCTTCACTAAGTGAGTCTCATCATTCTAGGACATTTTTTAAATGATTTGTTGTTAGAGGGGAACATAAAAAAGGAAAATTCAAATTTCATAACGTATCAAGAATTACTATCAAGTTTCAGACTCATCATTTGGATCGAGTTTATCAGAAAGGAAACCCACATTTTCAAAAAAAGTGAGTCATGAATATTTTTGAGTTCCTCTAGTCGTATATTTTCTCCTGACAGAAACTCCAAGTAAAGTAAAAAAAAAAAAAAATAGTTGGTGAAGAGGGGTTAAAGTTTATTTTCTACATTGAGTTTTATGGAGGAATAAAACTTCAAACTTCTTTTTCTCATCTCTTACTTAATTGGTTCCTTTCTGCTAAACTCGATCTATTTAAAGGACATAATAAAACATGTTTTTTATCTCAGATTTCAAAGTAGATAGTGAGCCACGGAGATGTTCTACCAAAGTACGGATTTACCTAATAAGTATCTCTCAAGCACATTCCTACTTCTATAACTGAGAGGATGTTGAATTGTTAACAATCCCAGCAGTATTAGTGTGAAAAACCATCCTGATTTTATGAACAAGTTAGGGTTATTTGAAGTTACCCCTATTGATAATGAAGAAAATTGGGACTGTGCTCATCACAATGCTTCATAATTTCAAATTATTTAAGAAAAATAGGATTTAAAGTATATCATGGATAATGGAGCTGTTGCATGCCACAGGGATTTGTGATATAAGTACTTTTCCTATTTTAAATATTTGCAAGAAATACAATGGTACAACTGGTCTCCGCTGAAACAAAATCCCAAGCTCACAATAAGCTCTCAAAATTGAGGTTGTGGTAGAAAGGATCGTATACATTAGAGTGGCTCACTCCTACATCTAATCAAAATTTCCATGCACAGATATGGAGCAAATACATCAGCAGTATTGCCACTTCGTTTAAGAACCGCTGGGCTTGAATTTCAGCAATCCCGCTAAAGTATAGCTCCCTATCCGTGCATGGGTGGACTCTCAGGGCCGAACTCACGGTCGTTCATTGAACAGCTCTGATTCTTAGGGAGGGCCCATATAGTTTCCATTGTGACTAGAGGATGTTTAAGGAAGCCTTAAGATATTGCATCATGAGAAGAACAATTTCGGTGAATCTTTAGTGAAATTCAAAAGTGTAACTTCGGAAATGGAAGCTTGCAAGGGATTATGATGACTTTCCATTGTAAAAAGTACAAAACATAGGAGAAAAAAATTCTACTATTTTGACAAACTTCAAGGTGGGTACTGACCAACCTTAAAATTTGAAAAACTCGTTATATACATCCTATTAGGTTTTGTGTTTTTTGTGGCGGCAAATCATTGAAATACCTTGCAAGGATTCTTTCCTTAAGTTACATGTACTTTGAAATTAAACTCAATGTTCGCCAAAATTTTCCTCTTTATGATCCTTTTCTGAAGGCTGTCCTGTACCTCCTTAGTCACAACGGAAACAGTTAGGGGTCTTCCTTGGTAGGAGCTGTTGAAGTAACGACTACGAATACTGCCCTCACGATAATGAAGAAGATCCTTTTCAATACGACCTTAAATTTGAGAGCTTTTTATGAACTTAGGAGTTAGTTTCAGAGAAATTCAGAGGCACCACCAAGTTTCTTGCGAAATTTAACACAAGATAAAGTAGAGAAATTCCTAATCTCCATGGCATGCAAGAGCTCCATTTTGTAAGTATTTCCCCTATGTTTGAGAGTGTACTGGGTGAAGCAGATTTCTAATAATTAACCTGTATAAATTGTTATTTTGTTTTAAGTTAGAAAATAAATTACAACAGAAATTCTGAGACATTGCAGTTGAAACCAGCGGTTCCATAGTTTAATTATAGACTTTTAGATTTCTAAGTTATCAGGACAGATTGCCCCTGACAATTGGACTGACTTTCTGAGGGCTTAAAATCAATCTGAACCAAATTTGAAGGGGGAAACCATCTATTTTATAGATTACTGATGCTGCTTTCCATTGATAAAAAGTACCATTAATAAATTCCATGTTTTTTTCCTGGCAGGTTTAATGGAGAAATTCACAAACCTTGAACATTTCAGCATCTGGTTGGTATCAAAGACTCATCCATAAATGATCTTTGGCATAATACTCTGCACCAAAAATAAACTTGAAAATAAAAAAAACCAGTCATTCATCTACACGTACTGCATGCCTGCATGCATCACGGTTGCATCCTGTCAATCATAAAAAGAAAATATGAGTGAAAATTATTATCATAAGATTGAATTTTCTTCTACTAGGTATACAGCAACTTTCCCTTTTTTCGATTTTTTTTTGTTTGTTTGTTCAGTTTTTTCATTTGTTTCTAGGATGTCTACTATAACAGAGTGACCAAAAATCCGTAATTTTACAGTACATTTTTCGTACATTCCCAAGAAATTCAGTCTCCTCAACAAAAAAACTCAGTACTTTTTCAGTACCTCCATTTGACAAAATTCGAAAAATTTCAAAAATTTGAATTTCTCACTCAAATTACGACAAAAATCACAAAAATTCCGGACCTTCTTGCAGAATTCCTGGACTTTTTAAGCACTTCCAGGCTGCCCTTAAATAATCAGTATTAATTCCCGATCTTCCTGAAATCCCGGACTTAAAGACACCCTGGTTTCGCTGGTATTAGAAGAGTTTTTTAAAAAGGTTAAAGCTAATATCTTTGATATTCAAATAAATTTATAAATAAATTAGTACAAAAATACAACAATTTTCAACATGGAACTGAGAGACTGAACGCATCTAACTGTTGTAGGTAGTATTCGTAATAATTGATTTTAGAGTCAACAAGGGAGGCCTTCTGCCTCTAATGAGATATCTAAAAAGAAGAATATTGTGCAAACATCTGTCCCCATGTAAGGTGGCAAAACAGACAAGTAAGTGCATTAAGTATGAATCAATGGCTGAAAGCAGAAAATGCTTATCTAAATTGCAGCATTTAAAAATCTCGGATTATATTTAATTTTCTTAAAAGGAAAAGTGATCAAAATATTTCCTCATTTAGTGTTATTTTTTTGGAGTGAGTGAAGAAAGTTTGCAGTAAACTTTGATAGGAACAGTTGATTTCTTTCCCTCTGAAACAACAAAACAGGAGGAGAGACTTACAAAAACGCAGTCTGAAATATGCAATTCTCAACTTAAACCATCGATAAATAATTTTTCCTTTATTTTTTTAAGAATTTCTTCTGAAAGTTGGCAAAAATTTGGGTAATTTTTTCATCTTCAAAGAGAAAAATATTGCATATACTTAATACATGATGCCAATGCAAATTAAGAATAAATCACAAATGGACTAATTTTTGCAATGAGCCAGTTGCGCTGGTCATAGAATCATGTTTTAATGCTTGATTCTTGTAGATCAGCCAAAAATAATAACATCTGTCCAAACCGCAACTTTCTACGTTCAACATTAACCGAGATATTGCCCTTTGAAAAGTCAGGTTTTTGACGTCATCCACCACGGCAGTGACACCCTTGGTTTCTTACTCTTTTGTTCGATCAGTGATGCAGAAGGCGCAACACGAAACTTCAACAACATTAAACATGAACAAACTGTAGTGAACTGACTGACCGCCTAATGTCTTTGCATCGGGTGCGTTACCTCCTAATAAGATCCTTGAAGCGCCAATATGTCTGTTTCTTAGATTTGTATACGTTTAATGTCGTTGAAGTTTTGCGTTGCACCCTCTGCATAACTAAAATCTAACAAAATCTAGACATCAAAATTAAAATAAATAATTTTTTTTTAAAAAAAAACCAAGCTTAGGATAGATGAGAAATTAAAATCAACCTAGGGCTTAGTCGTCTAGAAATTGCCAAATACCCCCCCCCCCCCTCTTGCCTCTGAGAAATTAAATCATGGTTGCTTGAAAAGTGGTGCCTTTTTTATAATAAGAATCTCCGTTTTTACATAATTTTGGGACAGAAGTAGACACTGCCCATTTTTTGAAAATAGATGACATTTAGCTAGCCAGCATACATGGTAGAGAAGAATATACAATAGGCTTCGGAGAATGAAGACTTACATTCAAAAGGTTGTCAACAGCAATCATCATCGCGGCTGCAAATATCGCAATCAGAATCAATGGCCTTGATGATATTGTTCTTCTCCTCGACGATAACACTGAGTAAGGCTTGAGAACTGTGCAAGATCTGTTTAAACACAATTAATGTAATTTAAGCAAGTTCCTCTACATTGGAAAAAGCTAAAAAAGCACCTTGTTAACATGTTTAAAAAAAGGGGCCCTCCGCATTTTCTATCAGGCACTTTACCCACTGCTTTTCATCCGTCCCTCTTTCTCCTCTCGGAAGCCAGATTTTAACGCATTAAATAGAACGGAACCAAGTCACGTCAGCCATTGCCAAATTTCATCTGATGATTTTTTTTCTACAGATGGACGGTACTGTGGATGCTTTTAAAAATGGCACTATATTTTCTCTGTGACACGAATCAAATTCCCTGAAATTTTCAGAAGAATGTGTAAAGCTATTCTTCTGTAAAAAAAATTGCTGGATGAAAAGGACTGATGTGACTTGGTTTCTTTTTGCTTATCTCAGTCCATTTGAAAATGTTGAATGGATGAAAAGTGATGGCAAAACGTAAAAAGGATAAAAAGTGATCTCAAAAGTAATAAAGAAAAAATGCTTGTAAAGTAAAATGGTTCATTGTGGTCTCTAAAAATCTATATTTTCCACTCAATAACTTTTTTTTTACTGGTTTGCATTTGTAATTATTCTTAGGAATTGAATTATTTCATTTCATAAATTCAATTAATTTGATAGCTAGTGAGAATAATACAAATTGGTGATTAGAAGAAATTCAAGGATTCAGGATTGAATAGTGTTTCATTTAAAAAACTCATATATTATGGATTTCTCGACAAAACTTCCCTAAGCATTAAAGAGGCTGGGCAAAGCAAAACAATATTAAAACTGGGGAAAGAAAGGAATGCACAAATGTTACATCAGATTATAGCACCATTCAGCATTATGTAATTCATATGATACTCAATGGGTCAACTGATGATTGATGCACTAGGTTAATGTGCTATTTGTTCACTCTATTCTTCCCCCAGTTCTACAGGCAGAGATTTTGAAATTATATTCCAGCGAATGGCAATATTTTAGGTACAATATAGTGCCTCATTAGGGAAGGAAAAAACCCATAAAAATTTCCCTCTTACAAATGCACTATTTCAAGAACAGGCGCCTGAGCTGTGCTGATGATATGTTCAATCAGATCTGATCTTTTTCTGCGATGGCCTTATGAATGGTTGTAGCTAACGTTGCTCCGAACAGCTTTCCTCTAATGCGGAAAATTATGCTCAGAATAAGTTTATTCTTCTCTAATGAGAATTTTTAATTACAAAAACTAAAACTGATGGCGATGACTTAATTATCTCTAATTTTAGTAGTGCTTTGCTTACTTATGCACACTTCCATTCATTGGAAAATACATTACCTTATCAAAGGCACACTCTGCTTCAGATATGGCTGTGTTCACGTCATTAAAGGCAGCTGTCTTATGCTCCAGTCGCACAATTATTTCTTGAAGCCTTGCAGACAAAGACATCATTTCTGTCTCTAACTGACACTTGACCCTTTCGTCATCTCGTATACATTTTTGTAAATACAGTTTCCGTCGCTTTAACTCCTCGATATCTGTAAAAAAAAAGCAGATTCCGTCATACGTTTAGCACAGAGAATACAGTGAAAGAAACACAGTTGAACATTTTAAGCGGACAAAATTCAGTGCTACCAGCTTGCCAAGGTTGCCATTGCAATAAACTTTTTTCAGGGTAAAAAATTATCAGTTATTTGTCTTAATTTTTAAACAAATTTACAGGTTTAAAACATTTGTTTTCAGGTGGACATTCAATAATAGCTGTGCTTTTGCTTAAGAATTTCCATTGCTCCCCAAAACAAGGCTTGCTGAAGGAGATAGCTCCTAATATTTTGAGATTGAGCTACAACTCTGTTCTGACACTGAAATCCTCCTCGGAAAAATGTAAAAAATACTAGACTTATTTTGGGATTGATTTTTTTACTAATGCAGCATTAAGAGATCCTCCCGGACCTTCCTAAACGAAATTAGATTGTAGTTTTCCTGTACTCTCTTCTTTAGAAATTATATCATTATATTTGACCTATCATAATATTAATTTTTTTCTAACCAGGGCGATAGTTATATCACCAGATACTTCCGTCCCTTTCTATGGTTGGCCGTTTGTGCCTAAAAGGAAAAAAATCCCTGTGAAAGAATTATTTCCCTTGTGGGATTTTTTCCCTTCACGAGCGGGCTTTTGTCCCATGTGTGGGAATTTTTTTCCTTGTGTGTGATTTTTTTTTCTTGTGTGTGATTTTTTTTCTTGTGTGTGATGTTTTTTTCTTGTGTGTTATTTTTTTTCTTGTGTGTGATTTTTTTTTGAGTGTGATTTTTTTTCTTGTGTTATTTTTTCTTGTGTGTGATTTTTTTTCTTGTGTGAGATTTTTTTTCTTGCGTGAGAGAATTTTTCGTGTCCTTACTTTTTTCTGCCTCAGTCAGATTTCATGCTTTTGCCAAATTTTGCAAATAAAAAAAGAGCCGTGAACTGTGATCGATGTATCTCAAATAATCGATTAATCGACCGGGCTCGATCTGATCGACACCGGAGTTGATGAATACCTCGTCTACAGCGTTGCCGCGTATAATTGTTAATTTCATAGAACACAACCCGGCACGGAGAGAACCCGGCAGTCGTGTCTAACCGGAAGAGCTTGAGGAAGAGAGAGAGATGAGAGAAGAGAACGCAGAGAGAACGGCACGGAGAAATTGAGGTTAGGATACCGAACGACTTCGACTTCCAAAGAATCGATCGCTCGAAGCTCGATGCTAAATAAAGTCAGAGCCGAAAGTTACAGTTTGGCAACAGCCTCTAATTGATAACAAAGACGAAAACAAGTTCTGCAGAGACAATATCCCTACGAGGAGAAAATCTCACACATGTCGGAAAATTCCTACACAAGAAAAAAAATCACCCACGAGGAGAAACATCACGATCAGGTAAAAAAATCACACACAAGAAAAAAAATCACACACAAAGAAAAAAATTCCCACACATGGGAAAAAAGCCCGCTCGTGAAGGGAAAAAAATCCCACACGGGAAATAATTCTTTCACAGGGATTTTTTTTCTTTAAGGGCGAAGTAATCGACCAGATACTTCCAGTCTTTCGATCTGAATGTAAATAATTTTATTAACTTCATGTAAACCTTACAATATGTACACAAACTCATTATGTCCTTTGTATTTACAAATATCTGAATAAAGTTAGAAGGGGAATGTCCTGGATAAAAAAAAAAAAAAAAAAAAAAAAAAAAAAAAAAAGCATTAAGAGATGATACAGGAAAATGCCTTGAATTTGTTCTATGACTGAACTTTACTACTCTTAATGACTATAAGAGTCAGTCTGTGCCTAATGCTTGAAATTTTTGCGAGGACATTTGCAAACAGGAGAATTTCCAGGTTACTCAAGTTTTTCAGGATTAAAAATGATCACAAGTTGAAGAAGAGAATTGACAGCAAAAGAAAATTAGTATCTGGTTGGTGGACTCCATCAGAAGGCATGGACTAGTAATAGAGGACCCAACTAGGCTCAGAAGAATTGATGATTCAAAATAATACAGTCTGCATCTAGAGCACTAGTCTGATAAGATTATTGTTCACAAGTCACCGAATTCAAAAGAAAATAGGAACCTTCATTACTGCGGAGTTCTAAGAATAAAATACTTTCTATTCATTTTGCAGTATCAACAGTAGTATTGTAGAGATATAATATTTCATTTCAACTGAGTTCTTTGATCTTCGGTCAAAAATTTAGAGCACTGTGATGACTGATCATTAAATTCAAAAGGAAAAATCAGCGCAGGCACAATCATTCGAATGACTAGGCTTTGTTGATGAGAAGCAACTGACCTTGAGAACATAAGTAAAGTTTACTGTAAAGTGTTTTCAGGAACAGTCAATCCATGTTGATTGGAAAGGATCAATCAAAAGAATAAATTGAGAACAATGATGGTGGGTAAAAGTCAGGGTGTCTAGGAACTTACGTTTGACCAGCTCCTGATTTAGGAGCTGAAGGGCTGCTCCTTGTTCGGCCATCATATCCATTTTGCACGAAATCTTGAAGCCGGTTCCTAAAACAAAATCGACGAAAAACTGGGTTGGTTCTGAGCGCTGGGATTATGAGACTATGAGCAGGTGGCAAATCAGCATGCAACTAGATTGTAGGTTAGTAGTGAAAAAGTGAAATGATAAGTTAGGACTCCGACCTGCGGACCTGAGGTTAGGAAGAGATCCGAAATGTACGCGTTCGCTTATCCGACTAATCCCCGGATGGAGAAATCGAGAGCGTAACTAAGAATTTGAAAAGTGTAAGATAAGCACGTGAAAAACCTGGCTTTTCCGAGACGAAGATAGCAAATGGGTGGAAGTAGAGAAAGATTCAACGAGAAATTTTACAAACTAATAAAGATTTAAAAAGTCAAAAGAACATTTCACTAAAATTTAACCTACAAGCATTTTCCTGGAAACGGAGAAAATTTTCTTTCCAAAAACAACTGTCTCTACTGTCAAATTTGAATTCGTTGTTGATAAAAAACAGATGATTAGTGGTTCATCGTACTGCCGTAAGGGCGCGCGTCTGGTTCGGGAAATAGATGGGCGAGGAACCAATCAAAATTAAGAGCTGAAAAGCGGTAAATTTGAATTTGCGCTCTTTTTTAGAGACCGCGCTGGTGCATGGCGCTGGCTCATCATATTACGTATTTTTCGCCGACAGCACGTACTATCTTTTCAATGAACTGAAAACAGCTAAAGGTGGGTAAGGGTTAAGTATAGGAATAGAAAAAAAAACTATACATAAAAATCAAGGAAATATTAAAATTGCTGTTATTTTACTGCCTTTCAAGGAAAGCATTAAACTTGTTCGAAATAATTCTTACGGCAGCCCTATACCAGTACTTATTTTTGCCAAAAAACAAAAGCTGTCAGCAAACAAAGTATTCTTTGGTGCTAAATTATTCGCCATATATTTCAAGGCTGTCATTGAAAATTCATGTTTTTATTTTTTATGTAGACGTATTAGTACAATTCATTTTGTGCGGATGATAAATATGTCCAATATCTTTGTACAGCCAATCAAATTCGGTTAAATTTTAAATTTTCCAAGAAAATTTCACGGTAGTTGTTCGTACAAAAATTAATTGTCTACGGCAAATTTTGAATAGTGCGACGGACTTATGTCTGCGTACCTGCCCTTGAAGGAAAAAAAAGTCGATGTACAGACAGCCATATACATAGGTTGTCCCAAAAGTACTGCACGTTTTTTTCTTATTGACGAACGGTAGTAGATATCAAAATGCGGTTTGTGTAGTCTTAAAGACCGGCCAATTACCGATAAAAAAAGACAAATCCGAGCTCTCTAAGTAAAAAAATGACCAAGTTACAGCGTTTTGAAAATGACTTGTAGAGGGGACCCCTACGGGATTTTCAGCTTCTTTTCTGGAAGAAAAACAAAGAATTAAGGATTCAAGTGGTTTTATCAAATCAATTTTGCAGAATCTTCCCAAGATTACTAGCATTTACTCTTCTTCACTGGATGACTGGACACTAGTTTCCTTCTCAAAATACCCTCCATCACTTGCCACACAGCGCCGCAACCGTTCTTCCCAATTCTTCAAAGATGGTTTTTTCGAATTCTTCTTGTCTAATGTTCTTTAAGAATGTTTCAACAGCTCTTTTCATCTCGTTGATGGAGTTAAACTTCCTGCCTCTTAAGCCCTTTTTCAACGTAGGAAATAACCAAAAATCGCAGGGAGCAAGGTCCGGGCTGATATCATGTTACCAACTTCATTCGATCGCGACGATTTCTCTGTAGAATTTTTGATCATAATCAAATCTTTGTTTTTTCCAGAAAAGAAGCTAAAAATCCTGGAGGGGTCACCTCTACAAGTCATTTTCAAAACACTGTAAATTGGTCATTTTTTGACTTAGAGAGCTCAGATTTGTCTTGTTTTAATGGTAATTGCTCGGTCTTTAAGACTACATAAACCGCATTTTGATATCTGCTACCGTTTGTCCAAAAAAAAAAAAACAATCAACTCTTTGTTTTTCTTCCAGAAAAGAAGCTGAAAATCCCGTAGGGGTCCCCTCTACTAGTCATTTTCAAAACGCTGTAACTTGGTCATTTTTTTGACTTAGAGAGCTCAGATTTATCTTGTTTTACTGGTAATTGGCCGGTCTTTAAGACTACACAAACCGCATTTTGATATCTACTACCGTTCGTCAATAAGAAAAAAACGTGCAGTATACTTTTGGGACAACCTATGTATTTTTAAAAAAATTCAAAGATATTTCGCAGGAAGAACATATTGTTGTCGAAACTAGAGACATCAAAAGTATAAGATGCTGGTTTTAATTTAAGTACGAGTAATTAAAATAAATGCGGTAATTTGAGCTCACGTAATCAAAATATGCGTTTCTCTAGTTTTGTTATCGATGCATCGTTTCTGTTTAAATTACATCAGGAAATCGGCTTGCATGACGGCAAAAGCGAGTTTTTTCTCATTTTTTGCCGTTTTATTCTTATACCTGCTATAATCGATGACGTCGTGAAGTTTCCCCATATGATACCTCATTTCTCCCTCTCCCTTGTGCTGCTAAATACTTATCGTCTTTTATCAATAGACCGTCTCTAGTCTTTTAGGTGCTCAAGTCCGGTCAAATTGCCTGGAGCAGGGAGAGCTTGTTAGGAGAGACGTAATCAGGCCTCGTTCGTGAACTTTTCCCCCTAATCTGTGAGCGTCATCCTCATTGGCAGCATAGAACAGAGCACTGAAACATTGCGAGTTCAAGTCTCGCGCCTGTGCGCCTTCAATTTCGCAGACGCAACACGGACATCCATCAAGTACGAATAGTTGTATCTCTGCGCCGTCATGAACGCGCATGCTTTCCTTTGCTCTATTTCAATGTTGTGTTGGTTCTATTTGTCTTATTAAACACACGTGGCCCGTGAGATGTATGGGGCCATTATACGAGCTTTAGATATAAGTCTACAAATACATCGTAAAAAACGAATCAGACCACAAATTAAAAAAAAAAAAAGAAAAAAATCGAGTGTCCCCAAGTAGCAGTGATCGCGATGAATAGCGATTTTATCGGTTGCCTATCGCGATTATATCGGTGGCAATTTATCGCAAGATCATCGAATAAAAAATTGCGATTTACGGCTATTAAATCGCTATGCATCGCAATTTTTTGTTCAATAAAATCGCGATCAATTTTCGTCGATAAAATCGAGATTAAATCGCCATATATCGCGATTTTTGTTACGATAATATCGCGATAAATTGCCGGGCGATGAAATCGCGATTTTATTGCAGCAAGATCGAGGATAATCGCTCAGATGTTGATGATCTTAGCGATTTTATCACCGACAAAAACGCAACAAATCGCGATTTTTCGGTTGAAAAATGCTTCTTGGGTCAGGGAATTTTTTGAAACTACTCCTGGAAATCCCAAGTCGGCCCCAAATTGGCCTGAATATCTTTTTTGGGGGAGTTGGACGTATACATACTAAAAGGTACTATGTGCATAGGGTTTGCGGGCAACATAGTTCCTTTTAGCATTAATGCGTTCAGTTGTGGTGCCGGTACGCACAAGCTTTAGTTATAGGTCTAAAACTGCATCCTAAAAAAAGAATCATACTCCAAATTTTAAGAAAAGAAACAGATTGAGTATCCACACAGCCTAAGTTAAGAGAGACGTAATCAGACCTCGTTCGTCAACTTCTCCCCCGAATCTGCGAGCGACATCCTCATTGGCAGCATAGAACAGAGCACTGCAACATTGCGAGTTCAAGTCTCGCGCCTGCGCGCCTTCAATTTCGCAGACGCAACACGGACATCCATCAAGTACGAATAGTTGTATCTCTGCGCCGTCATGAACGCGCATCCTTTCCTTTGCTCTATATAACTGTTGTGTTGGTTCTGTTCGTCTATTAAAGACACGCGGCCCGCGAGTTGTATGGGGCCATTACATACGAGCTTTAGATATAAGTCTACAAATACATCGTAAAAAACGAATCAGACCACAATTCGAGAAAATAAGAAAAAAATCGAATCTATAAGGGAATTTTATGAAAACCACTCCTACAAATCCCAAGCCGGGCCAAATTGACCTGAATACCTGTTNGGGGGGGGGGGGGGGGACGGTTGGACGTATTTATGTTAAAAGGAACTATGTGATTAGGGTTTTTGTGCAACCTGGTTCCTTTTAACATGAATACGTTCAGTTCTGGTGCCGGTACGCATAACTATGGTGTAAGTCGGCAATCACATAACTCGTTTGCGGTGTCTGAAAATCTCCGTAACTATGTTATTTTTTTAAAGGAGAACAAATGGACATGATTCCTTGCAGTTTTTGCAGAATTTTCTTCGCGCAGAGACGAAAAATCTCGGCAGTTTTAAAGAATCGCCGTTGAGTTGTTTTCCGTTTAAAAAATGAAGTATGACAGTTGGTCTGCGATGTCGCAAACCGACATATCGACGGTGAAACTACCAAACCACGTATCTCGTTTGCGGTGTTTAAAAATCTACGCTCACATTTTATTTTTTTGAAGTAGACCAAATCAATATCATTCCTTGAAATTTTCACGGAATTTTCTCCGCACAAAAAGGAAAAATCACAGAAATTTTCAAGACTGGATGTTAAGTAGTTTTTCATTTAAAAAATAAAGTATGACAGGAGGTCTGCGACGTCGCAAACGAGTTATGTGATTGCCGACTTGCACCGTCGATTATGTGATTGCCGACTTACACCGTCGATTTCCTACTTAAAACGTTGACATGCATGCTCCTCTAAGCTGCGTTATATACTGCCGTGCAACGCAAAAACGCCGTAAACGCCATTTCACATTTTTTGGAAACAACGTATCACAGCAAAAAAACTTGTGTACCTTGGGACAAGAACTTAACTTGAAAATTTGAGGTGCATTGGTAAAACAGTTTTGATGCTATGACGTGTTAAGTTCCGAAAATCGAGGGAGAATCTGGATGGATTTACAGCGTTCTTGCTTAGCACGGCAGTTTGGAGCACCTAAACGGCTTACGGAATCATAAAATGTCTGGATAATCCCAGAGCAGAGTGTATCTACATCAAAGTGCATTCTGCTTCATAGCTCTACATTTGAAAAAATTATACTTCACGATACCTCAAATCTGACCGCGTATTCGGATTCCTCGGTGAAAAATAGGTACCTGGAAATGATGTATCATTCATCACAATCGCTTAAAATGGGAGCGTCAAACGCAAGTGCGTTGATTCCGTGAATTCAACGCGGGTGGTCCCGAGAAGTGTGTCGCGAGAGGAAGAAGAAGGAAAAGGAATGTGAAAAGAACCCGAAGTCTGCAGGCGCCGGCGCTAGCGGCGTAAAAGTCAGAGGAGTGAGGGTCGAGCTCGCCTCAAGGTCGTCAGGAGCCAGACTGTCTGGTGACGGAGGGGTGAGAGAGGGGATACCACGATCTGCGTTTCAGGATTTCGCCACCAGGTGGCGTGGCGAGCGCAACCAGTTGAGTCTCTCCCAATTCACCCCTAGCGGCCTACCTCCTACAGCCCACAAACCGGTGATGATTGTGATTTATAGAACTTCTACTCCATTGGTTTACTAGAGAAGGATTGTTGTTAGATCTTCCGCCATCTTCTCGTATATTTCTCACGATGGGAACACAATAATGGAGGGTGATCTGAATGGACGGAAATCGTATATTTGGGTGCTCCTGAGTCCCAGGAACCTACCTCGGCTCTGTTGACAACTATTATCTGAATTACTGATTGTAAGGGTAAGTCAGTGACGTCGCAAACCGAGTTATGTGATTGTCAATTTACACCGCCGATAAAATTTAGTTATAGGACTAAAACTACATCCTAAAAAAAAGAATCATACATCAAATTTAAAAAAAGAAAAGGATTGAGTGTCAACACAGCCCAAGTTAGGAGAGACGTAATCCGACCTCGTATCGTCAAATTTTTCCCCGAACTGTGAGCGACACCCGCATTGGCAGCACAGAGCACTGCGACATTGCGAGTTCAAGTCTCGCGCCTGCGCGCCTTCAATTTCGCAGACGCAGTACGGACATCCATCAAGTACGAATAGTTGTATGTCTGCGCCGTCATGAGCGCGTATCCTTTCCCTTGCACTATTTCAATGTTGTGTTGGTTTTGTTTGTCTTATTAAAGACACGTGGCCCGTGAGATGTATGGGGCCACTATACGAGATTTAGATATAAGTCTACAAATACATCGTAAAAAACGAATCAGACCACAAATTTAAAAAAAAAGAAAAAAATCAAGTGTCAGGGAATTTTTTGAAACTACTCCTGGAAATCCCAAGTCGGCCCCAAATTGGCCTGAATATCTTTTTTGGGGGAGTTGGACGTATACATACTAAAAGGTACTATGTGCATAGGGTTTGCGGGCAACATAGTTCCTTTTAGCATTAATGCGTTCAGTTGTGGTGCCGGTACGCACAAGCTTTAGTTATAGGTCTAAAACTGCATCCTAAAAAAAAGAATTATACATCAAATTTTAAGAAAAGAAAAAGATTGAGTGTCAACACAGCCGAAGTTAGGAGAGACGTAATGAGGCCTCGTTCGTCAACTTTTTCTCCGAATCTGTGAGCGACACCCTCATTGGCAATTGGCAGCACAGAGTATTGCGACATTGCGAGTTCAAGTCTCGCGCCTGTGCGCCTTAAATTTCGCAGACGCAACACGGACATCCATCAAGTACGAATAGTTGTATCTCTGCGCCGGATCCTTTTCCTTGCTCTATTTCAATGTTATGTTGGTTCTGTTTGTATTATTTAGTGGTGCTTCAAGGGCTAAGTGATACATTTAGCCGAAAATAGGAGAGACGTAATCGGGCTTCGTTTCTTAAAGTTTCCTCCGAATGTGAGTGACTCCTCATGGGTAGCATAGACCGGAGCATTTCGAGTTCTCGCCTCGCGCCATCGCTCCTTCAATTTTTGCAGATGCAACACGGACACGGACATCAATCAAGCAAGAGTATGTGTACCTGTACAGCACCCGTTCCGTGCACAAACGGGGGCTCTCAAACTGGCACTGATTCTTCATTTTCTCAGCCATTCCTGCACGCAATTCGTTGAGAATCTCAAGCTCTAATCTCTGATGTGTTCCAAACTCATCGGTTACCTGCAAAGATCGTCGGACCGACGGTGTTGGTAGGTAAACATTGGTATTTTGGCGAGAGTTGTGTCAGTGAGTTTTTTTTCTTTCTTTCTTTCTTTCACTCTTCTCTACACGAACACCCCTAGAAACCCCAAGACGGATCAAATTGACCCGACTATCCCCGTAGGGGAGTCACATAAGACGGATGAGAGGGGAAGGTGAGAAATCGTCAGCATGTTACCAAAAGGGTAAAATTTAAAAAAAAAAAAAAAAAAGCAAATCTTATCTAAAAGCATAGAAATAACAAAGATAATAAAGATAGTGCTTCAAAAACTATTAAAATCAATGTTCTTTAATATGGGTCAATTTGATTCGACTTGGGACTTCGCGTATGAAAAAAGTCGCGGGCTTCTGATGGATACTCAGTAAATCCTCTACCCCTGATATCGGGCGTTTCATCAGGATTTTTCAAACAATTTTCAAAAAAAAAGAAGAAAAAAAAACATTACCTACGAGATAACATTTTATATATTTTAATAGTTTGGTACCTAAACGTTGAGTTAATTCGTAGTATATATAGATGAGAATATACTCATAGATTTTTAGAGCAAATTAATTTGCACGGTTATTACAAAATACTCAATTTACAATCTTAATAAATATCATTAAATACATTTTTAAATTACTATAAAAAATATTTTCAGGAAGTACATAGATTCAATACAGCAAGGTTAGACAATTGACTCCATTCTTAGATTAAGTTGACTGACCACCGTTGCGAAGTATTTTCAATAAAATTTTATTTAATTTGCATAATCTAATCAAATTAATGCATGGACCTTCTACACTGAAAATGCAACTTTACGATAGCTACAATTGCGAGGAAGTGATTTTTCGTTTCGAAAAATGCGCAAATTGAAAGTATTATGATCATCTCACTCATTACTCTAATTTTCACGAACAAACGCACACATTTACTTAAATAAAAATTATTAGTCTTACGTACTACCTACTCTAAGTTTAAACAGTAACACATCTATTTGAACACACATTAAAATTACAATCAGTCTTTCGATTTAGTTAATCTGAGAAAATCAGGTTAAAAATATTTTCTTCCTGCACGGAAAGAAACTTTCAATCTAGTTTGAAAACAATGACGGTTTAAAGAAAGGGAGGGCGATTAAATGGAATCATAGACCCTCGGCTTGGTCAATCTGGAGGCTGGTGTTCGATCCTGCGAAGCAGTTGTTCGCTTTGTATGAACAGAGTGCCATCATCTCCGCTGCTACGTTACGGACGTACCCTATGCTGGGTCTGGCCGTTGCTTCGGGGGTCATGCAACACTCAACGAGGTTTTGGAACTGTCAACAAAACTCAAAATTGTTTTCATTTGATGCAGAATATCGACATATCGACGGTGAAAGTCGGCAATCACATAACTCATTTGCGGTGTCTGAAAATCTCCGCCTCTACGTCATTTTTTTAAAGGAGAGCAAATTGACATTATTTCTTGAAGTTTTTGCAGAATTTTCTTCGCATTTAGAAGAAAAATCATGACAGTTTTAAAGAATTGCCGTTGAGTAGTTTTCCATTTAAAAAATAAAGTATGACAGGAAGTCTGCGACGTCGCAAACCGAGTTATGTGATTGCCGACTTGCACCGTCGATATAAGCTTACAACGCAAAATGCGTATATCAACCTCAACATTCAAAAATCCCCAATAATGTTTCACGCTCCTCCAAAAAACTAAAAAAAATGTTTCTCCTCAATTCTGAGTTTCCCCCCCTTTTTTTCTTTCAAGAATAAGTGAAGGAAATTTAAAGAAAATGTCAACAGAAACAGCTTGTGAATGAAAAACTTGACCCAGGGCCAATGTATGTCAAATTAAAATAAATAAAATGAATTCAACATTTTTTAAAAAATGTTCCGCGTACTCACTTGCACTCTCTGGTTTTCTCTATGGGACGCGTAATTTCGGCTATGGTACCATGCAGCGAACTGCCGGTAATGGTCGCTGCCGGATTAAGATGGAATTACAGCTCCGAAACGCGCCGCATAGAAAAAACCGATGTCCAAGTGAGTACGCGGAATTTTTTTTTTTTAATTTTCGATTCATTTTATCAACAGCTAGTTAGTTTTAAAAGCGCGAAATTGGTATTCCTCCGCATGAAACCCACCAGTTGTGATGCTATGATCATATAGAGGGGCTGAAATCAAACCGTAACCATCTCTAACTATCTCTCATATGTAAGCTCTCTCCAGAGAGTAAGGGTTTCCTCCAATTAACCCAGCAACTGGACTCCTTTCCCCTCCCCCAATTCCTGTTTTTTTTTGGTAAAAATATTGTTATTCTCTCACTCACTCTGTATATAATTGTGAATCGATTGGGAACTGAAATTGTATATGTGGGGGAACCATTTGTCTGTCGGACCTGAATTTTAGCAATTACACTCCCATGATGGAAAGTACATCCCCAGCATAGATGGAACGGGCTGAGGTCCGTAAAGGGTTGTTGTCAGGTCGACAGATCAGGCTCCCCTTGATCCATACATCATTTTGTCTCGATAGCCGTGCATACGCTCCGATCACTATTTTTAGCGTTTTCTGGCATTCTCATCGTCGCATTTCGCTCCTAATAGAATTTGATCCTCAATTTTAGGCCTCGTTGATCAGGTTCCGTAACCTCAATTAATCTGCCTCACACCCATAGGTAAAAGGGACTCCCTTACGGTGAGGTGCCCTTTAAGTAGCTTTTGTGCAACCGGGAAGCAGCAGATCACTCTGGAGAGCTGAGAACGAGTTACAGTACAATTACATGAATGGAAGATAGTGCTATACGGTACTAAGTTTATAGTGCGCTGGAATAAAAAATTTACACGATATGGCAGCTTCGGAGTAAACTGATAAGGTTCAAATAACGGGGCCCTGGCGATTGTAGCTCGGTGACAGTGTGGCACATGAAGTGATGAAGTTCAAAATGTGTCGCGGTCAAGTTCTGTTTCCAGGAGCATTGATTGCCGGCATCTTATAACCACGAAAACGTATACCCACTGATGTACGCAAGGCAGGATAGCTATAATGAGTGGATCCAGTTCAGCTGAAACGCGCTAAGTCTGATCGAGTGCGAACCGAAAAAAAAGGTATGAAGTTTCATTTCTCCATAAAACTCAATATTAACGACACATTTTAACGTCCATTCAAATGATCAACATATTTTCTCCATACTTAGAATTTTGAACTGGTGCTAATTTATGACTAATTGCATTCAAAACTACTCCTAACTCATTTTTTTCCGAGGTGCGACTTGACTCGGTGAATTTTTGTTGAATTCGGTCCAAATAAAAACTAACAAGCTATAATAAAATGCAATCAATTCTTACTATTAGAACCATTATAGCCAGCAACCAGTGGCGATTTTGCAAGTCGGGGACACTGTTTTTCTTCGATTTGAATCAAATAAAAATATCGATTTTAGTTGCCTCACGGAGAATCGATTGCTGTACATGCATTTAAATGGAGGAAAAACAAAGTCGCCAGCTTTCAAGAATCGCCCCTGCTATCAACTGATCACTAGCCACAGTAAGAAATTAAACACCGTGTAGTTCACATTATTCCATCAAAATGTCAATGAAGACAAAGTGAACAGACTAAAAATGTCTAAATTCAACTCGTACAGTGAGAAATTCTATTTTTCTGTGTTCGAAATCATTAAAATTCCCGCTTGCCGAGTAACCATGGTCTACCTGCGTCAAATTGGAAGCAACATTAGTGTCAGTGTACTACAAAAAATGTTGTTCTGTTTACTGAATGTTTTTTACAAATCTCCGAATATGTGTTTGAATCCACCTAACCACTCACTTCCAAGGCAAGAATATGGGTTTTTCTCTAATCCTAAGCTTAGACTTTTAAATCATTCAGGAAAAAAGTTAGAAAGTGATAAAATCATATGATTGAGAAAGCTTGAAAACAATCTCCTAAAGTGTTGCAAAAGGAAATGATTCTCACCATAGCTGTCATGACCAACAGGACTGAGTGAATAGGAAGTTGCATGTCATGAAATGGCTTACTTTTCTACACTGCGTTAAAGTCTCCAGACTTTTTTGAGTGTTGCCGGACTCATCAAACGCGTTAAAAAATGTTTTAGTTGTCACAGCCAACTGGGCTAGACGTAGCGGGGATTGTCAAGTCATGAAATGGTTTACTTTTCTATACTCTGCGTTGAAGTCTCCAGCCTTTCTTGTGTGTTATCGGACTCGTAAAATATGTCAGACAAGACAATGTTTTTCATCATGACTGTCATGGCCAACTGTACTAGACGAAGGAAGTTTTCACGCCTCGAAATTGTTTAATTTTTTATGCTTCGTTTGAGTCCTTGAGTCTTTGCGTGGTTCCCAACTATTAACACCAAATTTTGGAAACGTAATTTTGATAATTTAAAGAATGTAGCTCAGTTGCGCTGGTCACAGAATTGAGTTTTAATGCCTTAAGCTTATTTAATTTTGGTGTGTATGAATACTTGTCACAAACCTGATCTGAGTAGCAATCAGATGGTATAGGGGCGAAGTCACAGTTACCAATTTTTCGACAGAGGGCATACAGGTTGGTCTTCTGGCCAGCGAAGGGTGATTGCAACGATGCCATCTGCAAAGATCCATTGAAATACAGGTAATTTTTTTAAATAACTTCTGAGACAACTATTTCTTAGCCCCCAACACTTTTTCGCATTTTTGGGAAGGTTCCTCAGGAATGCATTTGTATAAAATATGCACATTTTTGTTATATTTGTTGATGTTTCAAGAGATCACCAGGAAAATGCGACTTTACCGAGACATTAAAAGTTTTTATCGCACATTTTTAAGTTAATATCAAGTCTAATTGTGAACATAGATGACTTGGATATCAGGAGAAGAGGCGTCAATCCTAAAAGTGTGTTAATATGCTACCTAATATTTAAATAGGAAAATAATGATATATTGAGGAAATAATGCAAGAAGTCTGTCACAAATTATGTTTTCTACAGATTGTCTCTGTATAACCTTTGTTGGAGTGATGGAAAACCTTTTTCTTGACTTCCTGTGTATACGAAACTCGTAAATAAAATAAGAGGGAGACTGGAAAATTAAAAAATTATTATTTAAAACTCATTTCTCACCTCGTACAAAAGGCAGCCCAAAGACCAGACGTCACTCTTAAAATCGTAACCTTTTCCGCGTATCCTCTCTGGGCTCATGTAGTATGGAGTCCCGATGATTGTTTGAGCCGCCAAAGTTTTTGGGCTGAAATATCGGCCCATTCCGAGGTCTCCAACTTTTATGTTTCCGTCACCCATGATGAAAATGTTGGCTGGTTTTATATCTGCGGTAAAATACAAAAATAGAAAGTGAAGTGCGGAAATACATTATTCTGTACAGCACAAAATAAAGTAAGGGGCGGGCGTTTACATGTAAAATACGTAACGCTCTTGTTGGGAGAGGCCGAGGGGAGCGTTACGCTACTTTGTTTTAACGTGTTAAAGATACGACGTTTAAGGATACGACGTTAACGACGTTTAAGGATAAGGAAATACGCCACAAAAGTGTTACGAGAGGTTAGGAGGGAGGGGCCGAAAATCTGAAAAGCATTACGTATTTTATGAACGGCTCCTGAGAAACACGTGGAAATGTCGATCAATGACTAAAACACAGCGAACGCACAGTCAAATTGAGGAATTTTGAAACATTCGCCTAAACTTTTACAAATACTCTAACTGAGAATTTGCATGAGCGTAGATGTTCGCTTTTACATGTGACCCGTCCAAGATTAAAGGAACGGTAACCTTTAGAAACATTATTTTATTAGGAAAGCGTTTTTTCCACGAAGGTCGAAAATTCGAATTTGAGTTTTCTACGGAAACCCTCTCTAGTATCTCGAGGTGAAAGAATGAGTCGCCATCACTGATCATGCCCATTTTGGTGGAAAGACAAGGCGTACAGAAATTCCATTAAAATGCAACAAATTTGAGCCTTAAAAATGGAAGATTAAAACTTCAAACGTATTTATCGTAGAGCTCCTTTGTTTTTAATTGAAATCTTCAAACCATCATGGTTCTGGCTATGTTTAAAATTTTTGAGCTATTTTGTGCAAAATGTCCGCAAAATATTGCTCTCGACAGAATACAAATAAAAAAAAAAACAAAAAACAAATTTTAAAGTTAGTTTTTAGTTTCTCGGTATAATTTGGCCCCTTTCCCCGTGGACGGTCACGTATTTACTCCTTGCTCTTAAAACTCATCGATAGGGAGTATAAATTGCCGTCAACTGCGTAAAAATATCCTTCAAGATTACGTTTATGCAACCCCGCGACAGTGGTGTCTTAACAGTTGTCGCTCAAAATCTATGTGATTCTTGAAGGCGCACTCTCCAACCAGGTTCTTTAAATTCTGATTTCTGAAAGATGTCCAAGCAAGCGCACATCAAATGGATACCTTGACGGTTTATTTATGGTGAAACTAGACACAAATACGCGACTTCTTTGCGGCTTTCAAACATTTTTGAACCTATGTTTTTTTTTTTTTTAGAGGCGGACGTAACGATCACATTGCTTGAGATTTTTACAGATACCTATTACGCGAGGGAGTTTTCAAAAAAATATGTCACAAACCCTTATTAAAATACCTTTCAACAGGGAGCAGTTTATTTATTTGTTAGCAAACCGCACTGGTTTCATCATTGATATTTAGAATTGTTGAGGATTTGCGTAGGCATTTTCTAGTTTCTTCTCATGTGTTATAATTTCTGTTAGAAAATGATGCACCATTCAGCCTCAAATTTTTTTACAATCACAAAGGTAAGTAACTCTCAGAAATTTTCACGGCATTATTTTTCTCCGCATTATTCAAAGGAAAAATGCGAGAGAATATTAGGAGACATGCTACGTTCAAGAGGGCTGATTCTGATTAACTTTTTACATTTCTCTCCAAATTATTTGGAGCGAGAGCGTCTAAACCGCCCTGCAATCTAAAAAGGAAATAAAATGAGGAGTGAACCGATTCGAAGAGAATGGAACTAAGTTACATCAAGATCGAACCGAGAAAAAGAGGTGTGCGGTTTTATTCCTTAAAATGTGTCTAGATTATTTTCTGTTAAATTCAGTCCAAACCATGTATGAACTTAAGGAAACAATTTTTAAGGGGATCTCTGAGAAAGAAAGAAAATCAAATCTACCAAAAGTATTGAAAAAATAAACATTGGGATTTTTTCCCAGCAATCCCCCCTGGGGGGATTTTGGAATTATGGTGAGAGTTTCAATCTCCACGAGGTTCTGAGAGCACATTTGAGGGGCTTGGAGGACAGGGCGCATAAATGCTTTCGAGGGATACATGTTTGAAGTTTTGAAATTACATAGATCCTTATGGCGGAAAGAAAGTTCAAACTGACTTTTTGTTGCATAAAAATTGGAATTTGGGACCGAATTTTTCACAGAATAATTATTAAGATTAGTTTTACTTGAAATCATTAATATCTGAATTTTTTCAAAAACTGCACTTTTCCGCCTTGTCTCCCAAGCCCCTAATTTCGAATTCAAAAACTAATGAAACGAGACGTGATATCAAGAAGTAATAGAACCGCGGCTAATTCGGTCCATTTTGAGCAATCATTAACAGTTTCAAACTTTGAAATTCCGACGTACCTCTGTGCATGATCCTTCGAGCATGCATGAAGTATATGCCATTGCATATCTGAATAAAGTATTTCCAGATTGTTGGCTCCGGAATCAAATGCCGCTTGGAGATGTAATTCTTGATGACTCGAGACAAATCGCCGGCATCAGCCAGTTCCAAAACAATATTCAGTTCTCCAGGAGTGATGAAAGAGGAGTAATATCGAACGATGTTCGGGTGATCCAGCGACTGAAACACGTTTTTTGAAAATCTTTGTGAAATCTAAATGTATCTGCTTTCCGCGAATAAACTCGTAAAATAATGTTCAACTCTTGCATCTTATAGGAGCTTTACCTAGACGCAAGTATCATTTTTCAGCGGAAAAATTTCGATATTTTGAAATCGAGTTGTGAAACTGATGGCACATATGTTTCTCTAAAATGAGCTAGAGACAGTTCTTCCTTTTTGCAAACCGTGATTCGATTCTGGTGGAAAACGTTCAATCCACGCTCACGATTCAGAGACTATGCAACCTGAATCAAAAAAAGGATCCAACAAAAAGACTGATAAAGAATAGGAGAAGCACTGTATGTTTTAGGTGCGTCTGTTCCCCCCTACCCCCGCTAGTTTCTTACTACGATCGAGAGATTAATTTAATACAATATCAATTTATTGACATGAAATTGCAATATTTTTACATCAGTGAATGCCGAATTAAACCATCAGATAAGCAGACTTAACATAGACAATATGCAATGCAAATGAAGATTGCATCTTAAATTCAACTGTATTGCAATACTGCCGTGCTGAGGAAGAACGCCGTATGAACATTCGAAAGTTGTCAAATTTCCTTCAATAAAACGTTTATTTTTGAGGAAAGCTATAGATGTTTTCCCTTGAGATTTTAAAGAGCTTTAGGTGAAATTGCGAACAAGATTACCTGAAAAGTGGGAGGGATTATATTCATAAGTGTACCGGGAAATTCGTGTTTTCAAGGATTCAAGTGTTTTCAATCGAAGGAAATTTGGCAACGCCTGAGGGTTCATACGACGTTTTTCCTTAGCACGGCAGAATACATTTCAATCAGAGGAGCCCCTTCAATTAGCGAATAGACAACACACGATACCATTTTATAACAGCAATGATTTCTCCGTATAATTGCAATTTTTTGCAACCTGAGCGCCTTGAGGAGGAAACCTACCTTCAAAAGGTTGATCTCTTTGATGCATTCCACTCGAGCCTCCGGATCTTTCATGTCGTAGATGTAAACCTTCTTCAAAGCCACCAATTTCCCGGTCGTCTGACAGGTCGCTTTGAAAACCACACTAAAGTTGCCTTTCCCAATAGGTTTGTCCACCTTAAAGTTACCCGTCGAGTTCCCTTTTTGTTGATCCTGTTGCCCCTGCTGATCTTGAGGAACGTGCGTCGCCGTAGAAATTTCAACCTCACCGGCTTGAGACATCGCAAAAATTCACTAAATTTATTATTCGTTTACAATCGGAGAGCGTTACGTTTTATCACTGTATTTTTTGTTTAATCACTTTGCTATGGGATACATTTTTATTACGCACTGTATATCTTGTATTATTTTGTTTTATCCATCAGTTTTTTTATCACTAATCTATACCGTAATCGTTTTCTACACTTTACTCATTAGTTTTTCACGTCAAGTTCGTCGCTTCTTCAATTTTGGTTCAGGTTAAATTACTTTTCCGACCGTAGGTTGTACTATGTTAAATTTGAAAATGTTTTCTGTATCCTGCCCTGTAGTATTATACCACAATTTCGTTTTATTTATTTATTTCCTTTTAAAGTTTTAAAAATTCTGTCTCGTATTTTCACTGATAAGAGCGGACCTATGCCAAACTGATTACTGGTTTTGAGACGGAGAGATGAGCGCAAGTAGTATCAAGGTGCGGTGCGCGCAGACTGATCTGATTGCGGGTTATGAAGGAAACCTCACCAAACCAGAGCAATATTAGGCAGAGCGCTTGTGTTATCTAAGCGTGTCTGGTCATTTCTCTATTATTCGGGAGTTTTTATCGTTATCGAAACGGCTGAGATCTTAATCTTTTGGTAGTAATAAGTGTGACGAGCGTTGCAGGTAAGGTCGCGACATGACATACGGTGCATGAAGAACGATTTCCAATTATTGATAATAATCAGGATTTCGATGATTTGATAGCAGCAACATCTTGGAGTGCATCCCTGTACCGAACCACACACAGAACAAAAGCGAATCCAAAGAGGGCTAAACAAGGGCTATGGGCCAAAACCAGGAATTATTTCTGCTATGCAGAAGTGGGGAAAGGGACTTGTTCTCTTTCCGAGAATATTTTGCTATTCAGTGACTATATTTCCACAACTTCTCTGGTGAGGGCCCCCAAGATCCTTCCCCTCCCCCTCCGCACATGGACCATTTTTCATGCTGAAGGGGGAGAGAGGCAATTTGACATAGTTTGGTAGGAACAGCCCTCCTCCAGAATAGGACGAATTCGATGATCAGTGAAAATTTCAGTTAAAAATATTCAAGTTTCACTTGGTAAAATGCAATCTGCGAGGAGAAATTTTGCAACATTGAAGTGTAGTTACGTTCCTTTGAGAGGAAAACGACCTGTTACCTGAATAAAAAAACATCGAAATCATTTATTGCATTTATCCGGGGTGCATGCCGCTTCTCATAAATGATCACAATGCGAGACACATTAGAACATTGCGTGACAAACATTTATACTCAATAATAGCTGAGGCGTTTCATTAAATAATGCAAAAGACGTTCGGATGATTGACAGTGGCGTGGCGTGCTTTGCGATAAATCGATTGACCTGCTATTTAAATCTATAAAAAAGGATCGATTATTAAGGTGTTCGCAGCGAACACCTCAATAATCGATTCTTTACTACAACTTCAAATGGAGAAATATCGATAATCGATCATTCACGCCACGCCACTGATGATTGACAGGGTGTACGCGAAGAGAGGTAACTTGAACATCAAAGTGAAATACTATAATTAACTCCCCAATTGAGATTATGTATGAATATCGATATTTGGCCGTGAGGAATTTTTGCATGGATATCCGAGTGATAGGTCTCGAAGGATCCTAAGAGTTATTGTCCGTAAAGAGGGTCTATCTGCATTCTATTTTCATGAAAAGTTGTGTAAACAGTTATCATACCTCGCACGTGGACGCGTGCGTTGTTATACCTACATTCGTGGTAAAAAAAAAAGGCTTCCTTGACTTTATGTGAAACCTCCATTTTCTTGTGTTACCTCCTCCCTTCTGCTGTGGATGCCTTTTAAATACTCCCAATGCGTATGGAAAAATGATGCGGAGAAAAATCGCAACTATTATTTTATGAAAACGGATTAAGTTTTTTTCTCTCACTTAATTGCATCACTGTTTTTATTATATTATGAATATTTCGATACTTGCATTGCTTCAGACGAATGAATACGAAAGTACACATTCCCTAGAAGTACTAATTTATTGCAATTTCGTGCAATATTTTACGTGGTAAAAGAATTATTGCGATTTTTCCGAAGTGTTATGAATGTTGCCTAATCACTAATTTGAAGGGGTTCCCCCTTGTTGAAATGTACTGCGACATTTAAACAAGTGGCAGTATTTTCTGCTTTGCAAACTGCCTACCTTCCTCCCACATGGGACTCATTTTATTAACCATTTAGCATCGGCATTTATTAAACAAATGACGTAGAAATATTGCGATTTCACTGTGAAAAAAAAATCCAATTTTATTGCATTAAATTAAAAAATTATTTCAATGATTTAATTGCACTGTGCTACTTGGGTACAATTTGACTGAAGAGTTTCGAGGATAAAAGAGTTGAATAGTTAAGGGACATTTTGACAATTTCATGAATATTGCGATTAAGTAAATGTGAAATGGCATAAAAGATCATGACAATATCAAATGAACCTTGCAATTGGACTCACAATCAGATAGGTATTGAAGCGGCAAAAATGAGTGCCCATATTGAATTACTTTCATTAAGCTCTGAGAAAGGTTTCACTCGGAATTACTAAGAGTTTAATTTTCTATACATCTTATTCAAGATGCCCTCGTGTTATATTTTTCTTCTCTAACTTGAAAGATGCTAACTTGAAATAAAGTAAGTTCCAAAGCGCGCATTGTGTCTCCTAATTTTGATTCAATAGATGTCTACGGAGTTTAAAAGCTTTCTGTGCGTTACAGACAGAAATGTTGGCTGTTTCTTCAATTAGATAAACATGCGGCTACTCATCCAGATCACTGTCACGGTTGTATGTTGTGTCAAAGCTGAGATAGCCGTTGACCTAGTCGTCGACTTCCTGGTGGATAGAAATCTTAGCTTCGTGGTTTTGTTCCCTTGCTCTGACACAGGTGAGTCAAGAAATTAATTCGGAAAAATAGAATGGAAAGCAACAGTTTGGAAGAATAGAAAACGAGGAAAACAAATTATGATAATTTTGTCGGAAAGAAAATGCGAGTGTATGGTCCCGCAAAAAGGGTTTACGAGCAAGGGGCCATCAGGTTCAGATTGAACTTCTGCGCTAAAATTGACTCGCGAATTGTATAGATGATGACGATATATGCGGTTAAAATGGGTGTCATTTTTACCTGAAAGGAGGTGAAAACTCCCTTTTTATGATCATTTTGAGTTTTAATTCAAACCTATTTTATTTAGAAACTTCTGTTGCCAATATCTCAATATATCTCAAGAATTGCTAATTCACCGAATATCTCGTTAAATATGGTTAGGGCTTCGGATATATTCAGACAATTTTGAGACAATATTACTTTTGCAGAGTAGTAGAGATATATCCTTAAAATGGAATGAGAACTGAAGTTGAAATAATTGACTCTACATCCGAGTCCGTTGACCCTGGTAAAAATTGGCAGTAGAATCTGTGTTCCAAAATACCATAGACCTACAGCCGGCTGTAAGATTTCCAATAGCTTCTACAGCCGGCAACACAATTTCTTATAGCCTTTTATAGCCGATAGCGACTAAGCAACAGCCATGCGATAAAGTGTATGCTAATTACGGATGCTAGGACTTAGTGAGTTTTTGGACTACTGCTCTCTTTTTGAGCCGAAATATCTAGATTTTTTTTGCGAGGAAAGCTCCGTACATTTGATGGATGCCTGCCATTCCAAATATATTAGAGCGCCCTCAGTCTCGTATGATACTGTGCAATACCTCTGGCTGGTGTAAAATAGTTGCTTCAAGCACCGTGGCACACTGCGGCGCGGCAGGCGGGCAGCGAGCGCGAAACGCGCATTGGCGCCTACAAACCTAACAGGGATACTTCACGCGTTGCGCAATGCGTGAAGTATCCCTGTTAGGTTTGTAGGCGCCAGTGCGTCGCCGCTCCGCTTTGTGTTAGGCTCTAATATTTAATCTGGCGGAGTCAGCGTTATTCAGCTCATGATTTTGAAATGTTTACACATCCTGTATCGATTTATTCTCATTTTAATTATTGATGAAAAAAAATATGTAATAAAGGAAAATATAATGTGTGTTTTGTAAATATTAAGGGGGTTCCGTATCTAACTTAATGATTTCCGAAGCACACAAATTTCTACACAATTTCTTATAGCCTTTTATAATCGATGGCGAAAAAGCAACAGCCAGGCGATAAAGTGTAAAGCCCGGCGATAGGAACTATAGCCCAGCTGCATACTTTTTTATCGCTTCGTATAGCCCGGCCGTGTGATTTTTTCCGCATTCTACAGCCAGCTATATGATTTTCTGTAGCCTTCTTTAGCCGGCTATAAGAATTCCTATGGTATTTTGAAACGCAGCTCTTATCGCCAATTTTTACCAGGGGAACTAAAGATTTTACTTCATTTTTAGTCATAATTGATTCAGTTTCCGTACTGGCGATAGTACAGAATGTATTTTTTATAGTGCAGTGGTGCATATCGATTTTCTTTAAACTAAATAAACTTACAAGGCATTTCAATACGCCTCTCTTACTTCAACTACTCTCTGTACCAGTGTACCATGAAAATCCATAAAAATCTGTGATTTTCTGTACCAAGAAATACAGCCGAGACTCAAAAAGTCACACGTCTCTCTTTTTTGTTTTAGATTATTATACATGGCTGAAATATTCATCGGATCAAGCTGATTATGGCTTCTTAACTTTGGATGGCTCAACAATCACTAGAAAAGACAAACATGATGGTCAAGACATGACCAGTGTAGAAATACATTCATCCAGCATTCAAACAGGGATAGTCGTTGATTCAAATTGTGCTAAAAACGTAGAAGTGCTTAACATGGTACGATATCCTTGTCTCAACTTTTTTAGTATCCGTTCATATTCATTAGTAGAACTGATTATATGAGTATTTATCTAGTAAATAAATACATTTAATTAAGTTCACCAGGAATTGAGGCATTTTTTGGTAAGGGCGTATGAGACATCCAATGCTCCTAAGATTGTGCAACGTAGTTAAGTTGGCTTTGACCTCGAGCAACTATTTTAACACTCCGGAGATCAGATTGCATACCCAACGAAATGAAGGAGCTTTGTTATTGTGGTGATCTCGAATATACTAAAAAAAATTATATGCGCCCACGACAAGGCAGTCGTGAGGGTGGCAAAAGCTCGATGCCCCAGGAGCGTGGTAAGCACGCAAATCTAACAATGGGGCTGTTAGGGGGTGCGTGAGGTGAGTATTTGCTTCGCCTCGAGGAGGCTGTGAGGTTGGAGCTAACGCGAGCCATATTTTTGTGTTAACAATAAGTAAAAACGCCGTATGTTAGAAAATATTTATTTTTAAGGAACATTATGAATATTTTTCCTTTAAATTTTTAGACATGTCATACCGAATCATAAACGAAATCCTTTAAAACATTGGAAGACAAATATTTACAAATTTTCCCGAAAATTCGTAATTTGTCGAAGGAGATTCGACGACGCCTGAAAACTCTTACCGCGTTTTCCTTAGCTTGGCAGCACACGATGCTTTCGATAGGCCCCGAGTGACTTACTCTTAGTTTTCATCAGATGAGGGTGAATGAAGCATTTTTTCTGAAGAATCACCAAAAAAAGTCTCACATGTAAATATGCAGCTTGCTAAAAAAAATCCTCAAAATCAGCCCATTTTTCGAAAAAAGGGGGCTTGGGATCCATGAAGAAATAAACGAGCCCAAAATGTGACTAAAATTCATGTTACTGAGGTTCAGTAGCACCAGAAATTGTGGGTGCAGCAAAGATTTTCAAAAAAATTATTTTTGAAACACCCTAATCTCCACGTTGTGTTTTTTTTTCTTTTTCTGACGACTACCCTTGGAAATTCAATGCCCGAACCAAAGAGGTGAACATTTCAAAAAGAATATTTCATACCTTCAAAAACATAATCCTTCAAAAACTGTCAAAATCAATGTATGTCAATACGGGTCAATTTGACTCGACTTGGAACCTCGCGTATGAAAAAAGTCTTAGGTGGGCACCTGAGGGTTGCGGAGAGAAACTCCTCCTCCCACCCCCAACCAGGGGCGGACTGGCCCTAAATTAAGTATGGGGCGGGCCCCTAGGGGAGTCTGGGGGGTCCCCCAGTAGAAGGGGGGTCCGGGGGCCCTCCCCCGGATAATTTTGAAAATTAGGCCCTTTTAGAATGAATTTTACGCTATTTTAGACCCTATTCTTTAATATTATTTTTGAAACATTATCCAAAAAGAGACCAGAAATGCAAAACTTAGTATATTTTCTTAAACTGGATGAAAAAATGAGAATCCGTTGTATACTTAGAATTCAACTTTTATTTTCCTCTTCCACAAAAAATTGTGCCAAAGCTAAATTAGTATACAGAAGATACATAGAATCAAGTAGAATAGTAATAGTGACATTCTAAAAAGAACACATTCTGAAAAACACAGTTCGGATTTTTTTGTTCGTTTGTTTTTTTTAAATGTACTTTTTAGCCGCCAAAATTGACAACTGTCTTAATTTTTTTTGAACGTTTTATTGGATCCTTTCTTCGCTCTGCTCATAGAAAAATCAGTGCCGTTTAAGGGGGGAGGAGGGGGGGTCAAGCCCAACGTTACGTAACTCTTTTTTGCCGTAAGACCTTTTTTTTCCTTGTTAATTTAAAAAACTGACCAAAATAGGGGGGAGGGGCGAGGCTTGTGTTACGTATTTATTTATTTTTTTTTGAGGGGGGGGATGGTTCGACCTTGCGTTACGATGCGTTACGGAGGGGGGATGGGGGTAAAAAAATCGGAAAAATGTCGTTACGTATTATATGGACAGCCCCCATTATGGATTTCGCTAAAGGGGGGAAAAATCGCCGAAGGCCCCTACGAAATCCCTTGAGGAAGGTAGGAAAGGTTCCCTACTAGGGGCCTCCAAAGTTCAAAATTGCATAGAAATGCGCCCTCGAGGCCTCTCTGAATCAGTACCAAAGGGCCCCCGGCAAAAAGGACCCTTTTGTCGAATCGGCGATAAAGAGCCCGGTGCCTTGAAGGTCCTTAGAGGCGGTATAAAACCGCATCAAGGCCTCTTCAAATCGGCAATAAATGGTCCCTTGGAAACGGCAAAAAAGGACTCCTTCGAATCAGATAAAGGGGCTCTTTTAAGGTCCTTAGAAGCGGCAAAAAAAGGCTCCATCGAATCTTCTTCGAATCGGCAATAAATGAGTCCTTCAGGGCTCTTCTGAAATGACAAAAAAGGACCCCTTTGGACTTATTCGAATCAGAAAAAAGGGCTCTCAAAATGCAACGCCCTTAGATACGGCATAAAAAAGCTCCTTCAGGGCGCTCTCCGAATCGGCAATAAAGTGTCCTGTCCTCTCAGGAGTCTCGGGGCCCTTTCTCGAGGACGAACCGAAAAAGCCCTCGGGCGCTTCTTCGAAACGGCGAAATACGGCCCTTCAAATCGGCCAAAAGGGGCCCCTCCGGGGCCCCTTTTGGCCCATGAAAGTGGGGCGATCGCCCCATCGCCACCCCGGCCAGTCCGTCCCTGCCCCCAACCCCCACTTGGCCGCCAAAGTTGATCCAACTATATTCATCCTATGAGTTTTCTCTCCTTTCGCTCTAGGTACCAAGAGACCTCCTCTTTAGCTCGAAATATCACTGGCTCATTTTGAGTGACTCAGAGATCGGGGGTGTTCTCAACATCGATGATTATAAACCTCTGGCATCGATGCCTCTCACCCTCGAAAGTGACGTCACCATCGCAACCGGGCACGAAGACACCTCGAGGAACCTGACGGATGTTTTTCGATTCGACCCTAATGGGGGTATAAACGCCACCCTTGCTGGCTCTTGGCAGAGGGGATCAGGGATCCAATGGTTTTGGACGCAAACAAGACGCGACAGAAGACTCAATATGCACGGCTTGGAAATAACTTCTGGAATAGTGGTGGGTTACTATACACTTCAATATCAAATGGAGGGAGCAGGGTGCTTTGATGAGTTTCCCCCATATTATGAGAATTTTCAGTTTTCTTCTGAGCTGAACGCACTTTTGTAAATATATCAACCAAGGCCAACGCGGTGAGCTATAAAATGAGCTCTCTCTTTTGCAGTGTAACAGCAAATCCCTTCCTTTTGGTGAATGAACCAGTGGCGAGGCGTGAATGATCGATTATCGATATTCCCCATTTGAGGCTGCGCAGAAGAATCGATCATTAAGGTGTTCGCTGCGAACACCCTACATATCGATCTTTTTCCATAGGTTTAAATGGCACAGCAATCGATCTATCGCAAAGCACGCCACGCCATTGAATGAACGGAGTGCAAATCAATGGCAAGTACATACGTCGTAGCCGATATCAGCCAATACGATGGATTTCTAACGCTGTGGCAGCCAAATAAACATGTTCCTTAAATTTCAATCTTCCAAAAAATGATTGTTTTCTTAAAAATGTCTCTGAACTGCGTTAAAATAGAGGCAATCGGATGTGGCCCGGATAGGTCGTGACCCCGTGTATCCCTCCTGAAAATGTTTGAGGGGCTTCAGGACTGTTAAATTCGGATTCCTGTAGGTCAATTACCTAGGAAAACATGTTTAACCTAAGTTTCTACGTAAAAACGATACTGAATTTTGTGCCGGGGGAAGGGGGCCCTATTCCCTACCTTCAAGAGTCGATATTTTGAACAGGAGTCCGGGCCAATTTTCGATTTCTCGGGATTGATTCGGGGTAAATTTATCTGCGCTCTCTGAAATTGTTGGAATAATCTCAAAATTTTGAGGGAAGCCCCAATTTATAAGGTCACGACCCCCTTTACAAGACTTCTGTAGAAGAGCCCCACCACGGCATTTTTGTTGAGCAACTTTCGAGATACCCGGTCAACGCTCCAAATTATTTAGCATGGGTTTAAATGGAGAAAATCAGGTGTTGCCTAATTGTTGAATCCGCCTCTCCGTTGAATATCGTCTTCTGCCAAAATCAGTAATGTTGTACCATCCATACTTGTGTTTCAGTTTGTCAAAGTATCCAACATGACAACAACTGATCCAGAATTGTGGTTGAATCCGAATTACATGAAAGGTATTGAAGGACTTTCAAGACACGCGTACGAGTTATGGACTTATCTTTCGGATCTTCATAATTTCAAGTTGGTAGACATCTTTCACTCAACGTTCAATAAACTTCTCGTCTCCTAAGCCCGATTTAGGGCCGTGCTCCTGGTCGTTCCTATACTGCCGCGCTAAGGAAGAACGCCGTATGAACATTCGAGAGTTCCCAAATTGCCTTCGATGAAATGTTTATTTTTGAGGAGAGTTATGAATATTTTCCCTTGAAATTCTCTGGAACTTTAGGTGAAATTGCGATCAAAATTATCTGAAAAATCGGAGGAAAAATATTCACGAATTTTCCTGAAAATGTGTAATTTACCGAAGGAAATTTGGCAACGCCAGGAGGTTCATACTGCGTTTTTCCTTAGCACAGCAGTATAGCTAACAATAAATCAATTCCTTGGAAGCGAAGGCCCCATATTGTTCATATTATGACAAAGGGAGGTTGAGGGAGACCGTTATTTCAGCATCATTAAATGTACAATTTCAACAAAGTCTTTTTTAAAGTCAACACTTTGGCTGTAGAATAGGCCCTTACAACAGATCGCAATGCTTTGCGCACTGCAAAAAATATAAAATAAGGGGGAGAAAAACTGTTTACAATCTTTAAGGTAGGTACAAACCTACTTAACAGTTTTAGACACCTCCAGAATTTTTCTCTTCTTCTTCTCCTTCTTCTCCTTCTTCTTCAGCAAAAAATTAAAAATCATCAATTGATCGATCAACATTTTTACCGACAATATTGTGAAGGATCGCCTTGAATACCTTGTTGAGTGAGTATCAAGACTTGAGGTTTATAACTATGAAAAGTTATGTAACTATGAAACTACGAGGCGCATCGAGGAGGTTGGGCAGGAAAGCCATCATGGCGCTTAGCGCCAATTTTTGCCTTATTCTTCAAACCTCACTGGCACTCTAAGATTTTTAATGTTTATTTATTCGCTGGTGTTACACTTACAGGATCAAAATTGTCGCAATAGTGGATTCTTACGGAATATCAAATGGCACCTCCTTCGACGGGCTCATAGGGCTTCTACAGCGGGAAGAAGCGGAAGTTAGTATCATAGCTATCGTCATGACTGAGGAGAGAATGTACGCCGTCGATTACGTCAGGGTTCCCAGGAGTTTTTGGGGCTGGAGGTAAGGTTTCGGAAGTCCCCTTTCAGGCGCACATTTCCCAACGCGAATGTGGATCAGGTCAATTGCGAAAGGCACAGAATCATGGAATAAAGAGAGACAATAATGACAAAAATCGTGAGAAACGCATCAAACTTCCTCGCAAATGCAGGAAGGATTTATGAGACGTACTCACAAACTGGGGGAAAAAAAAAAAAATTGGTCATGTGAACCGAACGTCCGGTGTTCCGTACTATCCACAACTACTCGGTTTGTCAAACTGAACTCTCGATTCGTGTGACCAAACGCTCGGCATATATAACCGAGCTTTGTTTGTAACTTTACTTTACCGCACAAGTTCGGTTACACGAACGGAAAGTTTAGTTTGACAAACCGAAAGATCAGTTTGACAAACCAAAATTTCAGTTTTGACGAACCGAAAGTTCAGTTTGACGAACCGGCGCGACTTGGCGAACGCGACATGACCGACGACGGTGAATATAGCACTTGAATGCAACTATTCGAGCTTGTAGGATGTAGGTAATGCTAGTTGCATACATGAAAAATGAAGGCGCTCGGGTTTTTTTCCTGTGCTCACATCTCACATGCGCGGCGACGACGCGACGTTGCCGTGTTTGTTATTCTTCTCTCACTAGGTTACTCAAACTCCTCTTGCTTGGGTTTGTTCACATTGGTCCAATGCTAATTTATCCGTATGTCAAAAACTTATTTTGGGGGGAAAATGTTGCCTCTGACTCTAAAAACCATGTACCTGCAACAAAATGATATTTTATGAAATTTTCGGATTTGAGTCGTTTTCGAACTGAACGATTCGATTTAATAAAATTTAGTGCCAGTTCCGACAATTCGTCGTCTCTCGCGCGAAGGAACGTAACTGCATTCCAATGTTGCCAAATTTCCGTGCGCAGAGTGCATTTTTACAAGGAGAATTTTTAACATTTCTAACTGAAAAATTCACCGATTTTTCTTCTGATTTTATGCGAAAATCAGACCAATTTTCGACAAAAATTGCACAGGTCTATTCTTGTTGAATATTGAATTATTTGAGTCAATTTTGCAACCTTGGAATGGAGTTACGTTCTTTCGTCCGGGAGACGACGAATTATCCATCAAACCTTAATGTTTTTCAGGCCGATGTTCGTGTTTTTACATCCTAAAACCAGCTCGAAGATAACGGCTTTAGTCGATGCGGTTTCAACGAATGCGTGGATTGGCATAGGCTGTATGGCACTTCTTCTTTATTTAGCCCTAAGCGCCTCCTACAATGTTTCGCACAACCTTCTCGAGAGAGTATCGTTAGCCTTCACGTTCACAGCTGCAGTGGTCGCACAACAAGGTACGTTCGCAGGCTCGTAATTGAAGCTCATTTCTCCAATGATTTTGTTCGGTAAGTAACAATCAAAGTAAGGCTTTTTGTCGATCAGGCAAACAATCGATTTAGCTCCAGTAAGGAGCGAAACAAAAAGCAACGTCGCCAATCAAACATCTTTGGCCCAACCGTGAAAATTAAAATATTTGTTTTCAAACGTCGCAAATTTCTTGTCGCAGCTTATCTAACAGAAGCAGAAATACAAAATTGGCAGGGAAACTGACCGATTTCAGTTCGCAGTGCATGTTTCACATATCGACGGTGAAACTACCAAACCAAGTATCTCGGTTTGCGACGTCGCAGACTTTCTGTCATACTTTATTTTTTAAATGAAAAACTACTTAACATCCAGTCTTGAAAATTTCTGTGATTTTTCCTCTTTGTGCGGAGAAAATTCCGTGAAAATTTCAAGGAATGATATTGGTTTGGTCTACTTCAAAAAAATAAAATGTGAGCGTAGATTTTTAAACACCGCAAACGAGATACTTGGTTTGGTAGTTTCACCATCGATATGTGTATTTCATCGTTGAGGTCTCTAAAAAAAATTTCCCTCAAAATTGTATGGCAAAGTCAGAATTTCTCTGCTTATTTTTTGTAAAAAAATTAAGTACATTCAGGAACTCCGCCAGCAGCCTTGATACAGAGTTATTCAGTGGCATCATCTATAGACAAGCTTCAGAAGAAAGCAAGAGAAAAATTGAAAGGAGAAAAAGAGGAAAACAGAAAGGAGAAGTAGGAAAGAAGAGAGAAAATATGAAAAGAGGAATAAAAATGATAAAATATCGACGTAAATCGATCGAAACAGATGAAGCGAACCGATCGTCATCGATTTGATCGAGAAGTACGCAGTTATAGAGAACAGGTTCGTCTTCACTTTTCGGTCGAATTTTGTCAATCTAAGCAATCCTGGTCTACTGTCCCTGTAAATGTCAGTAAATTTCTTTAATCATGAAGTGATAAAGTGTTAAAATTATAATCAATGGCGAATCATCTGAATCCATTCTTTCAGTCGCGAGCTTTTGGCTAGTTTGCGAATATTTGCCGGGTTACATTGCTAATTTTATGAAGTTTATTTTTCAAGAGTTTTTCAAGACAAAGTGGAAGAAATAAGTTTGATTAGTGCTTAAGATGGTTTTGTCTCAATTTATTTTTGCCAAACTTCCATTTCCTTATCAGTCCATTCGTCTTGGTTTCAGGCCTTTCTCAACTGTGTAGAGATGCGAATAGACTATCGGTGCGAATAGTTATTGTGAGTGCCTTGATTTTCGGCTTTATTTTGCTGTTTTTCTACAATGCAACCATTTTGACATTCCTGTTGTCATTGCCAACGAAAACGATTCGCACAATGCGTCAATTAATCGACAGTAATTTGCTGATTGTTTCTGAAAATGCCGTCCAATACATAGACTTAAACCTGGTGAGTATTGACCCCCCCCCCTCCTTCTTATCTTTATACTTTATATTTATTAATTTTATATCAGACTAAGGACGTTATGTGTTCATGCGTATCTATACTGAAACGACACATCGTTAATCGTTAAATTAATTTGAACACGCTGAGAGGGCGGTATTACAGTAAAATGCCCGCTTATAATTTCCTATATTAAGGAAATGGCTACCCTTATTTTTGAAAATTAGCCAAGATTTTTAATTAACAAGCACTGCATATTGTCTAAAAAAAACAAGTAATAATGTGGTTGTGGTAATTTCATTGAAAAAAATAGAAATATCTGTGTCGTTGTAGTTTTAATAAGTGTTTTGAAAACAGATCAAGACATGGCGCTTGACCAATTTTTTTCGGAGACTTTAACGCAAAGTAGAAAAATAGGATATTTTTTTCGAGTTTGCTCAACGGAGGCCGGTCCTCGAGCTGAATAATTCGGAACGATGAAAATTAGTTGAGAAATTGCAAAAATTGAGATCCATGGTAAGATAAAAATTTTCGGAGACTCTAACGCTGAGTAGAAAAACAGAGTGGTGAAGAGGAATGAAATAGGATAGGAGTAAACCCCCCTCCTCTCACGGCGCAGAGGTGGACGCGGACATGGGACAATAATGATTCAGGAAAAGTGGTAGAAGCTTCGAAAAGATTCAATCGATCATTTTCGATAGAAATCTATTTGCACTCAAAAGTGTTGCTCTTTGCATCAAAAGTAAATAAAAAGAGTAAAGTAAAGCATGGATTTATCCACATAAATCCATGCTTTCTAACCCTCATTCGGAAATCGAGTTACGTCTTTACACCAAAAGAGCGATGTTTTATGACTTGAATTACCGGTGATAGGTCAAAATGTCCAAACAAAAATGTCCAAAAGTCAAAATGTCCAAACCCTGAATGCCCAAAAATCTAGAAAGGCCAAATATCAGTGATGTCCACCAGACANGGGGGGGGGGGGGGGGGGGGGGAAGAGATGCATGTGTAGCAACTCCTTCTATTCCCCTGAATAGCTCTAACCAGAGTGTCTACTAACTAAAGTTTTTTGCTGGTGTTCGCAGAAGCTGAATGTATCGAATGTAAAAGAAGTTTTTACGAAGAAAATCAGGAGCCGAGACCATTTCGTACCATTTGCGACTGGGATCAGTAAAATGAGGAAAGAGCAGTACGCGTTCATGAGCGACGATCAGAAAATATTTCGGCACTTGCAAGAAAATTTAACCGATACGGAGAGATGCGCCGCTCAAGTCATAGATTTGCTGCCCGCCAAGTTCCCGTTCTCGATACCAATCCGAAAAGAATCGGCGTACGGCGAGATGCTTGCTAGAGGGTATACTCTTATATTTTTTCTCTTCTACTTTGCATTTTCTTATATCGTTACGTCTGGAATTCACATCTTCACGGATTCTTTTTTTTTTTTTTTTTTTTTTTTTTTTTTTTTTTTTTTTTTTTTTTTTTTTTTTTTAGCAGTTTTGAAGCAGCTTCTATTTTTCAATTGAGTCACTCTACCATTGATTTAAAGGAAAGTTTTACATCGCTTTTGAATAAGTTTTGTCTGGTTTGAAACACTGTCTCTTCGACAAATACCTTCCCTGGTAAAAATTGGCAGTAGAATCTGCATTCCAAAATACCCTAGACCTACAGCCGGCTGTAAGATTTCCAGTAGCTTCTATAGCCGGCAACAAAATTTCTTATAGCTTTTTATAGCCGATGGCGATTAAGCAACAGCCTGGCGATAAAGTGTATGCTAAACGTTACTAATTACGGATGCTAGGACTTAGTGAGTTTTTGGACTACCTCTCTTTTTGGGCCGCAGTATCTTGATTTAATTTGCGCGGATAGCTCCGTACTTTTGAAGGATGCCTGCCATTCCTTATACGTTGGAACGCCTTCAATTTCGTATGATATTGTGCAATACCTCTGGTGTGAAATAGTTGCTTCAAGCGCCGCGGTACGCTGTTGCGCGGCGCGGCGGGCGAGCGGGCGGGCAGCCAGCGCTGAACGCGCATTGGCGCCTACAAACCTAACAGGGATACTTCACGCATTGCGCAATGCGTGAAATATCCCTGTTAGGTTTGTAGGCGCCAGTGCGTCGCCGCTCCGCTTTGTGTTAGGCTCTAATATTTAATCTGGCGGAGTCAGCGTTATTCAACTCGTGATTTTGAAATGTTTGCACATCCTGTATGGATTATTCTCGTTTTAATTGATGAAAAAAAATATGTATTAAAGGAAAATATAACGTGTGTTTTGTAAATATTAAGGTGGTTCCGTATCAAACTTAATGATTTCCAAAGCACACGAATTTCTACACAATTTCTTATAGCCTTTTATAGCCGATGGCGGAAAAGCAACAGCCAGGCGATAAAGTGTAAAGCCCGGCGATAGGAACTATATAGCCCGGCTATATACATAGGCTGTCCAAAAAGTACCGAGACTGGTTCCATAACTCAAAAACCAAGATAGCTAGAGGCTTGATCTTGGCCTCATTTGGAAGATCAACTCAACATCTATCGATTGAAACCAAAATCAAAACTTTCGGTCAAGTATTTCAAAAGTTACGACACTGTTTGTAAAAAAAATATCTGGACCCCCTACCGTTTTTAATGACTATTTTCTCTTGCCGGGAACACTCTCTAAATTATTAATGATCAGTGCACGGTTCTTTTGCAACTGATCATGGCAAAACCTAATTGATTTGGAAACACTGTCAAGCCGTCGTCGTCCGACTACGGGTATAAGGGTTCAAAGTCCACAGGGAAAGAATCAACCGTCGGTCAGCCACCCCTAAAAAACCCGGGAAATTTTCGGCAGTTGTTGACAGTTCACAGTGCGTGCGTGGTCCACGCTGCAGATAGTGAGTGATTTTGTTTCTGTTTCCAAATCAATTAGGTTTTGCCATGATTAGTTGCAAAGAACCGTGCACTGATCATTAATAATTTAGAGAGTGTTCCCGGCAAGAGAAAATAGTCATTAAAAACGGTAGGGGGTCGAGATATTTTTTTTACAAACAGTGTCGTAACTTTTGAAATACTTGACCGAAAGTTTTGATTTTGGTCTCAATCGATAAATATTGATTTGATCTTTCAAATGAGACCAAGATCAAGCCTCTAGCTATCTTGGTTTTTGAGTTATGGAACCAGTCTCGGTACTTTTTGGACAGCCTATGTAATTTTTTATCGCTTCGTGTAGCTCGGCTGTATGATTTTTTCCACTTTCTACAGCATGATTTTCTATCGCCCTCTTCAGTCGGCTATAAGAACTCCTATGGTATTTTGAAACGCAGCTCCTACTGCCAATTTTTACCAGGGTTTCTTCTATCGCTAAAACTTTTCTCTACCTATTTTTTTGTTCAAAGTAAAGTCACTTTAATTAAAATATAAGTTGCATTGTTGTCGCTGACAGATTTACTTTCCAATAAATTGGAAAATGAACATATTTTCATTTGAGTGAAAAAAGAAAGAATATTTTAAGTGAAGCAAACTCATCCAGATTTTTTATTTACTCCAATACTATTTTTTTCAAACTTTTCCCCCAAAAAGTTGCCAAAAACATCAATTTTGAGTTTCCCTGAGGATTGTCTTTTTAACACTTCCGAATTTTTCAAAAGTTTTTTTGGCAGCCATCGCTTAATGGAAGCGACAGTGCCTTCATGGGTATTGTACCTACATATAGAACCGAATAACTAGAATCAGCCGTAGAGTACAACAGAGTCGCAATGTATTAAAGAACGTCTCATACACTGCAAGCTGATTGTTGATTTTGACAGACAAAACGATAGACATAGAAAACATACCCAAGTTGCAGTTTTCAACAGAAAAATCGCAATTTATCGCGATTTTATTGGCGATAAAATCGCTCGAATCATCAACATCTGAGCGATTATCCTCGATCTTGTTGCAATAAAATCTCGATTCTATCGCCCTAAAATTAATCGCGATATTATCGAAACAAAAATCACGATGTATGGCGATTTAATTTTGATTTTATCGACGAAAATTGATCATGATTTTTCGAACAAAAAATTGCTACGCATAGCAATTTACTCGCCATAAATGGCAATTTTTTATTCGATAATAGTGCAACCGATACACTGTAAAAAAAACACACATTGGATCAAGAGTCCAGACTCTTGAAAACATTGAAAAGAAAAAGGACTCTTGATTCAATCAAATTTAAGCCTAAATCAAAAGGACTTCCGCTCAAATTAAGAGGCTTGGCTCTTGATTTAAGCTTAAATCTGATTGAATCAAGAGTATTTCTTCTTGTCGATGTTTTTAAGAGTCTGGACTCTAGATCCAATGTGTTTTTTTCCCAGTATGTTATCTCGATGATCAACCAATAAAATCGCTATTTATCGCGATCACTGCTACTTGGGCATGGGCAGGGAGTATGGTGCGATTGTCAGTTTATTGCCCAACTCCTTTGTCCATTGCAATGCCTCCCTAGCCAAACCCCCGTTCACCAGCAGGGTCCCCCCATATCCTTTCTGCCGTCTTTTGCTTTGTCGATCAATTTTAACATTCCGCCCACTGGGAGCGATTTGGGTTAAAACCGTATAATTGAAGCTAATTTGCCGCAGGAAAATTAACAAACGCCTAGAATGGAGATGTTGCCTGTGTGAGGAATTTGCGATTTGACTGTTGATTCTTATGTAAAAGTTTGCGAGAAACACGATGGTGCCACTGGTTCTCTCTGAAATCAACTCCCAAGCTCAAAAAAAGCTCTCAAGTTGAGGCCAAAATGGAGGGGATATCCCACGCTATCTTGAGAGTCCACCTCTACATCAAGACAAACTCTCCATGCAAAGATAGGGAGCAAATACATTAGCAGGGTCGCCGTGTTTTCAGTTTTGGAGTCCCCAAATAAATTGGCAACCCTGCTAATGTATTTGCTCCCTATCTTTGCATGGAGAGTTGGTCTTGATGTAGAGGTGGACTCTCAAGATAGCGTGGGAATCCCCTCCATTTTGGCCTCAACTTGAGAGCTTTTTTTGAGCTGGGAGATGATTTCAGAGAAAACCAGTGGCTCCATCGTGTTTCTCGCGAACTTTTACATAAGAATCAACAGTCAAATCGCAAATTCCTCACACATGCAATATCTCCATTGTGAGGATATACCACCAAAATGTCCAACATTTCTAGGTTCCTTCTTCTGCTGGAGAGAGGGATAGTTGACAGGGTGGACCGTAGATGGACGTACGGACAGCCCGAGTGCATCATGAGTGACTTCATGCCGGTCGAGATAGACGATGTCTTCTTCGCATTCCTCGTCATTCTCGCAGGAACCCTCACGTCCGCCATTTTGTTTTTCACCGAGATTATCAGTGTTCAAAGCCTCTCTCTTTTAAGCGATAAGTCGAAGCGTTAACGTGTTGAGCGGTTCCCTCCGGTAATTATTAATATTATTTTTTTTAAATTTTTTCTATTTAATTTAAAATAAGAAGATAAAGTTGAAATGTGCCAATAGGCGTAGTTGATCCGTGTTTGCCAAAAATTGAAAGTATGGTATTGTAAAGTATGGTAATTGTAAACTTTTTACTTCTACACAGTCTTGAGATAAAAGCTAATTAGCTTATCTTATGATTGCAACTTATATGTTTTGTTAAACTACTACCCGTAATTGGACGTACTCGTGTTGAATGAAAGGCGGTGTGCTCGTGCAAGTTGCATAAGAAACAATGTAAAACTGGATATCGACGGTGAAACTACCAAACCACGTATCTCGTTTCCGGTGTTTAAAAATCTACGCTCACATTTTATTTTTTTGAAGTAGACCAAATCAATATCATTCCTTGAAATTTTCACGGAATTTTCTCCGCACAAAGAGGAAAAATCACAGAAATTTTCAAGACTGGATGTTAAGTAGTTTTTCATTTAAAAAATAAAGTATGACAGAAAGTCTGCGACGTCGCAAACCGAGATACTTGGTTTGGTAGTTTCACCATCGATATAGTTCCTTTTGAGAAAATGGAAAAGCGGGATTCGACGTTAAATCAAAAGGATCTGAGCGCTAACTCGTGAGCCGTGGGCATGTGACAAGAGCCTTGTGGACAGGGCTCATGAGTTGAAGACTGACACCCTAGGCGTCGTTAATAATAATTACAGGCGCCCAATAATTGCATATTGTGTCGGTCCCGATCGCCATATTTGTAGATGTCTCTATTAGGTATACGTGGGGAACGAAGGCGAAGATAGGAGACAGGTAATCGGGTCTCGTTTTTTAACTTTCCGCCCAAATCTGAGTGACTTTTCATTCGTAGCGAAGAGCGGAGTATTACGAGTCCTCTCCTTGCGCCATCGCGCCTTCAATTTTGCAGACGCAACATGGACATCCATCGAGTACGAATAGTTGTATCTCTGCGCCGTCATCATAGTGACAGTAAAACTACAAAAACATGCTCATATCTCAATTTGCGACCTTGAGGACTTATCTAGTTTTATATAATTTATACCTATATTTTATCTTATGGCAAAATTGTGCGTTTATCTCTTGAGAACTTTCCTAATTTTTTCGCAGTGTGAAAAATATTCTGTGAAAATTTCAAGCTGTACTATCAATTCGATCTCATCTTCTGTTATTGGAAAATAAAATGAGAGCTGAGATTTTTAAACATCGCAAACGAGGTCCTCGCTCTAGCAGTTTCACCGTCGAATGCCGTCGATAATAGTCTTGTTGAAATCAGGGACTCAGGGAATGGATCTCTATCTGAAACAAGTGCACGAGAATCGCCTTCAACCGCAGGTGTAAGCAACATGTATAACACACTTGCGCACTCAATATTTTTGTTTACACTTACACTTCCAAGTGAGGTTATGTTGACATGTTCAGCTTTCAATTATGTACTTTCAACAGTGCGGGGAGTTCTCATGAATTTGCTTTCTCCTTTAGTTTCAAGCCCTTGTTTTTCAGATTTCTACGCATGAAGTTCATTCTTACGTTTTATCAGCTTTATTAGATTTTTTTCGTTTATCATTTTTCACCTGTATTGAAGCCTCCCCTTGATCTGAAAATGTTCTTCATTTCAACAACTCCGTCTAATGGTTTGAAGTTTTACGTCGGGTGATTACATTCATTTAATCCTTCAACGATCTTCTAACCTGCCATTTAATTATAGCTGAAACTCAGTAGAGTCATGAAACCTAGTGAAATGACTAATTATTGGAAGAACAAGAACTTGTACACCAGTTACTTTCAGTTCAACATCTGCCGTCTATGTGCCACCGAATGTGACTCTTTGACTCCAATTTTCGGAAACTGTAATGTTAATGAGACACTTGACCTGAAAATAAAGAAATACCTCCCAGTCATTATGGTATGTTGAATAATGCCTTCCCAGTTCACCTTCTCTTCTTCTTAGATCTTCATCTGTTATCTTTTGGCAAAGTAGTATTCCAAGTTGAAACCTATTATTGTTCCTCTGAAAGAGCAGACATTCAAATTTTAGTTATTTTTTACTTCAACACTTTTGCCCCGTTTTTTGGGGCTGTCTGTGTCAAAACCTGGGAAGAGCCTGGAAAAATATTTCATGAAAGGGTGTCTAAGAATTGTATGTTTAAAGACTGAAGTTTCTTTTTCTCAACTAAGTAAGGTTTGTACATTTTCACATCAGTTGAAATATTTCGAGGTTCCAGAAAATTTCAATTTTTCAATCTCTTATTCCTGTACGAAAGGAAGAAATTAAAAAAAAACCACCACCTTTAAGATTAATAATAAGTCATGGTACTCTGTTATTGCTCTTTTGATGCAAGAGTCAATAAATCATTGATGGAAAACATTGGAGATTGTGTCACTTTAGTCGAGGAATTTTACCTCCCAAAGTTTGTAGGTGTTCTACATTTGCCCTGACTTTATAACTTTCCTACATTGCTGCATGATCAGATTTATAATTCAATATTTTCTCCTTGCGCAGGTCCAAGAAGATGACATTAAGCCGAAGCAGATCTGTGCATCTTGCATTTCAAAATTAAATCTTTACTCAGGGCTCATAGACTCATGCATAGCAGCTGACCAGAAATTTGAGGTATTGATCCAAAAAGCCTATAGTTCGACATCCTGTTATCCCATGCAGATTCAGGTAACTAATTTATCTAAATTTCACTTAATTCTAAAAATTCTGGAGGAAGAAATATTGCTCAGATTTTTTCTCTTTAGTTTGAGAAACAAACCAAAAAATTATGGAACTGTACTAAGGTGGGTATCATCACCGGGTGAAAACTTTATCAAAGTTGACCACCCTCTCCCCTTCATTCATGCACATTTCTTGACACATTCCTGATGTGCTCACAATCAGATCTAGAAGTGAGAGCATTAACGGCAATGTTTATGCTGAGCATTCTCGTGGTCGAATTTAGAAGGCTCTCACAGCTGAGAGTCTACCTAATCAAATGGTAAAATTGGTTTTTTACCACTATCAATGGCTTGTGAACAAAGGGAATGGAAACCTTACTTTCTAAATGATTCTTGCCTGAAAGAACACTGAGAAATGGCCAGATATGTGTGTAACAAACAAGGTGGAGAATGGTGCTGGATCCGCACCATTTTGTGGAGAAAACAAAGCCAAAAAGTTTCAAAAATCAATTAGAGTCAAACAAATAAAAATAAAGGAAGAAAGAAAAAAATTGAGCTCAAGTGAGTACCAGTACAAGACCGGGGGGGGGGATGTTCAGCTCAGGCAGCTTGTGTTGAAATATTAAGTTGAAGTCATTCTGAGAGATGTATTACATTTTGGGTCCTTTATCAGTAGATTACACTCGTCAGTGAACCCAACTTAGCATCCCGCAGAGTCCAAGACAGCATCAAAACGCTGTCATAAATCCTCTGATTCTGGTACTCATCAAAGTTAAAAAAGAATTTTTTTTTTTTGCTCCAATTGACAATTTTTAACTTTTTGGCTTTGTTTTCCCCGCGAAACGGTGTGGACCCTGCACCAATCTCCCTCTTGTTAAATTATTCTTAGAACACTCTTAGAAGGATTGAAAAATGCCTAACTTTGTGCATAACTTTTTCAATATGTAACTTATCTTAGTTTCCCATCTTTGCTTTCAGGATGTAAATTTTCCTAGTCAACCTGCATGGGATGTGGAAACAAGCACAAAATCAGAAGAAAAAACTGATGTCTTATTAATTGAAAACTTGGACAATATGAATAAAGCACCAGAACAAGAATATGTAGTCATGGTTGAGCTTAAATATAAGGATAATTTGCCCCAAGGGGGTAGGAACTTCAATGAAGGAAATGTAATTCCTGACAACAACGTAGAGACTATTGTTACTTACGTAACGAGTGACAAGGGCTTAGGTGCAGATAATGGCAATACGTCTCTTACAATTGATAACTGTTCTCTAGCCATCAATTCGGAATCAGAGTTGGAAACAGATCCATCCAAACTTGATCTAGTCATTAAAAATGATTTTGAACCAACATACTGTAATCTAGTCAGTAGGTCTTTCAATGACACTCCCTCAAATCTAATTAGTAATATGTACCAATCAAAAGAGAAAGGTGCATCATTGGTTGATCTGCCAGAAGCGCAGGTCTTAAATGCATCTGTAACTGATGAACAGAGGTTAGTATTTTTTTTTAAATTTCTTGCAAAATAACTCCTTTTGTTGATACGAAGTTATACTTTCCTTGCTCAGACAGACTTTTAAGTTCCTACAAGTGTGGATGTTTTGTCATTTAAGTTACCAATCACTTCTGTGTAAAATGTTCTGATGATACCTTTGGTTTCCCCATTCATTTTTTCATCAATATAAGGTTCAGCCAAGCTTAACTTTAGGGGGAAAATAATAAAAATAAAAAATAAAAGTTTCAAAAACTAAGTACCAATCTCACAAAAAGCTCTCAAAGTTCAGTAAACAAATTCAGGACCCCTCTCCATAAATAAGTTAAAATGGGCTTCTCAAAAAATGTTATCGAGGTTTGTTTTGCTGATCAAGTTCACATTTGTGTTTCTTTTGAAATATTATGGATGTTTGGTTTTGTTAAATTTTAAATCCTCTACTTTTGCAGGACTTTTACTTAGTAAAGGTTGTAAAGTTCTTTGAACATGAGGGACAACTTGGAAAAGTCATTCAATTTTACCGAACCATGTATCATGAAGAAACTTTGCCTTTAAACCTTGAATTTTCTTATTTCTGAGAAACCATCAAATTGCGCTAATCGCATTCATATTTTCTAATAGTGCAGCTTGAAGTTCGTACTAAAAACATTTCATTATGTAAACTATGTTCATATTTCTAATAGCATTTAGATGGCCAAAATTCGTGAAGGAGCCAAGTAAAAGTCTGTACATTTTTTTATCAAAAACCTTAAAAAATCAGGGAAGTTTCAGAAGATCTTCAAGTTTAAGGTGACTCGTCTTCCTGTTAAAGTAATTGAACCGAATGATCTACCGTAAAATCAAAAAAAAAAAAACATTCATCTAAACTGTGTGGCTTATAATATGTCTACTTTATTTCATTTTTATAAAAAAAACGAAATCACCATTTTTCTGCTAGTTTCTGACAACTAGTAATTAGTTTTTCTTGAAAAGGAATGTAATGAGGAATTGTCTATGTTGCAAACTGTAATTTATTCCTTTGACATTCATCATCATTCAGTATTTTACCTAAAGTAAAAAATGGTTATGTTTGTAAGGAAAAATGTAGAGACAGAAAAAAAAGTGACTTTGGAGGCCAAAATATATTTATTTTTTTCTTTCATGTTACAAAGAACTTAACTCAAATTTTTTGATTTTTTTCAGTGTGGAGACTCCAGCATTGGATGGGAAAAGATACAAATGCACGACTTGCGACAAATCATTTGCCCGTAAATCTCGGTGCAAGGCTCATATCATATCACACTCAAAATCACGTCCTTTCAACTGCGAGAACTGTGGAAAGAATTTCTTCACAAAATGGGAGTGTAAACTGCACGAACGGATCCACATAGGTACGCTAAAATGTGAGTTTTGTGGCAAGGCATTCTCTGTCCGCAACAAACTCGAACGACACCGACGGATTCACACAGGAGAAAAACCGTTTGCTTGCAAATATTGCGTTAAATCGTTTGCTGATAAGCGTAACCTGGATAATCATCTAAGGACTCACACCGGTGAACGGCCTTACAAGTGTCAAACTTGTGATGATCGCTTCAGAACTCTAACGCACTTGAAAGATCACCAAACTGTTCACACAAAAGAGACTCCCTTTAGTTGTTATTTATGTAACAAGCGTTTCAAGTGGAAGACAAACTTGCAGATCCACCTGAAAAAGCATCCCTCCAAAGATGCAAACTCTGCTCTGTTAAATATTTCTCCTTGTAGCCAAATGGCAAGTGGAATGAGCAATCTTGATACAACTGTTTAGAAAATTTTATCTACGTGAAGGTATTCTCAATAGATCTCAGTGTTGTGGTATTAGGTATAATATTACTGTTTGAATTCATGATAGATAAGTTGATGCTTGTTTACTTTTGACCATTATTAGTCCAATAGTCCAATCTACATTTCCGTTGCAATCAGCTAGTGGGCAGATGCATTACTGCTGCTTGCTAACAGAAAATAAGCTAATGTCAACCCATCTAACGCGAGTTCTTCTTGTCCTACTCAAAAACCTCTAGTCATATTAAGTGGTATTATCCATGGGCCCTTGTTGTTGGACAATTTTCAAGTTTTGTTGGACCCATAGTCAGTGCAGCGTAGTCTATCCTCACAATTTGCTTCTACTCTTGAAGGATTACAAAAAACAAACCAAGAAGTGGGCATGTGATATGCAAACTTACTGCCATCTAGTGAGCGGTTTTCCAAATATCTATGCCCAAGCCCTGCCAAGAAAACGTTAAGTACAATGAACAGATTGTAGTTTGAAATACATGTCATAGTATTAAACTGAAAAACCCCACAGGGATGAGCATTGTCATTCACTAATGAGATTTTCAATTTCATTTTTTCTTAAAACGTATGATGGAAAAATTACCATCTCTGTTCAAACTTTTTAATGAATTTTATGCAGAACAGCCCATCTTTTCCTTACATTTTTATTGAAATAATGGTAAAGTAATACATTCAAATCTGAATGTCAAGAGCCTTGCAGAACAATAAAGAAAGGTAATTGATAAATTTACTTACCTATAAGCAAATACAGTCTTTAATTAAGCATCATTATCAAAGTGTGGCTAAGCCAGTGTGTAAGCGATGCTCAGTGGTTCCTGATATCTGCGCCCGCATTATTCTTTTAAATTAATCAGCTGCAATGAAAGGAATAAAAAAATGTGTTTTTTTTTATTATTTTATGTCCAATATTTCAATCGTTACGTGGGCATAATTAATTTCATTAATCGCTCAAGAGTAGAGCCATTTTTTCTGCCAAATCTGTCAGATTCAAATTACAAGAGCAATTATATTTGTTACATTGATGCTGTAAATAGGCAACTGCTTTTACACTTTAGAATAGTTTCACTGAAATATTTTTGATGCTACTTTATTGATTTTTGAGGTATACTTTGCTGTGCTATGAGGCCGTTCATAAACGCTCTGGGAGGGGGATGGTCTGAGCCTGCAAGGGTGCATTAAAGGGGAGACGTTCAGAGCTGCGTCATGTAACTCTATCAGGGACGCGTAGCGCCGAGTTGTCTGGATTTTAAGACAAATTATTAAGGGGCTGCAGACCTGTGTTTTAGGTGCATTGAGGAGAGAGGATAAAAAATCCGATCTCAGCCTTTTTTTTTTTGAATGGCTCATGAGGAAAAGCGTGGTTTGCTTGTATTGTACTCAATTGTTTTCCTTGCTGCTTACCCTTCAAATCGAAATCAACTGATTCACTTCGCAGAAAAATTTTAATTTTCCAAGTACGAGGCAAAATGACCAGTACAAAAGCTAGATCTCAATTTTTTGTTTTCTCTTAGAAACAGGCTTTCGCATAGGAAGTCAAGGACACCAATTTATTTTGTATTATGTTTTTCTGTAGCGCAGCATCATGTTGAGTCTGCCGTTATTGATAAAAGAAAGTTTTCAATCGCGTACGTGTTGACAAAATTTAATTTTTAATATTTTATTTCCAAGGCAAGGTTTAATGAATGTTTTTCTCCATCAATTTTTCAACTCATTTTTAATTTTAATTTATACATTTTTTACTATTTTGAAGCAATTTACACATTCCGAATGCAAGGGTACACTCTTTATGCAATGGGGAAGAAATTAAGAATATGATCTGAGTAGATAGTAGCTTCCATAGGGTACATGCTATTGATTCTCTTATATCATCTTGTATGTTTTTCATTCCAAAAATCAGAATAATCTTGATCTCGCACTGACGAGACGTATTTTGTTCTCTTGCAACAGTTGCTGAGAACCAGCAACAATATATTTAGTTCAAAATTGTTTTGTGTTGTAAGGGCAGGGCTTATTCACGCGTGCAGAAAAAAACTCCTGAAGCAACCATTGTTACACAACAACTGCAACGTGCACAGAAGGTGTTTTTAGTGTTGTTTTCCAAAGAAACGCTAGGAAACACTATTTTTAGTTGCGACCATGAAAGTTGTTCTCTGGTTAGCTGTTCAAAATTGAGTAAAGAAAACTAGATAAAGAACCCTCAACACATAGTTGCTTTGAACAAAATACGTCTTCGAACTTAGTTACTGTGATTAACTTTCTCTAATGGCATTTTCATTTGGGTTCCACGTTTTCCTCAAAAAATTTCACATCTTGTGAGGTATTTGTTTTTTAGACTCTTGCTATAGAGAAGCTTTGCCTTTCTCTGAATGAGCATTTTTTTGTTTTTAGTCAATCAAGTTCCTGTATTGTTTTTTACCTGTTAAATTTGGTTATTATTTATACAACAAAAAATGTGGTGGAACTACTGCTACTTCTTACTAATTTTTTCCCTCCAATGTTAGCAATTTTTTGCCAGAAAAAGTTGTGTGGGTACATCATTCTGATGCACTTTTTCATTGATGCATGATTTTTTATTTTAAACAATGATTGCAATTTTCAAATACATTTTTCCTGAGTTTTTAAAATTTTCAATGCGTCTTATCTGTGAAATGATATTCCCCATCTCGTATAATATCTCAAGTGAGGTGTGATTAGAAAACTACATATTTGATTTCCTTAGCTACTTATTTTGGGAAATGAGTATTACGTTAAAATCATCTTGCTTAAATGTGAATGCATTACATACGCTGTTGCCAACATGTTAACATAAGTTTGAAATTAAGAATACGAACTCAGAGAGAAGAGGGAGAAAAAATAAAATAAGCAACTGAAGTGTATTATCTGAGTTGAAAATAAGGGGCTTTTTCTGATAAAATGAAAATTCGACTTGATTTGAGCGAAAAATATTTTCCATAAACTTTATTCGAATCTTTTGTGTTGATGGAGCAATCACTTTGTACCAATCTCACAAAATCTTTCAAGGTTACAATTCACATACATACAATAACTACAAAATTGGGAGAAAATACAATTATAAAGTAAGAATAAATAAAGAAAAAACAGAAGAAAACAAAGACGGAAAATATATAGATAATAAAGTATTATAAACATATAAATCTTTACAAATTGGATACTTATAGAATGTAATAAACAACTGCAGACCGTCTCTGCAAATTTGTTAAATATCTAAAGCTCATTTAACTTGTTAAAGTAAGAAAAACGTGAGGGAAGCTCAACAAACTTTAGTGTTTCATGCTTTATCTTTGATTTCAAATGCAGTTATTAAGCTCGGAAAAAGAGAACTCCAGTCAACTCAGAAAGAAACTATTTGAGGAGAGAGGGAACTCACTTTCTGACTAAAGAGCTAATTCCACTGAGGCAGAGCTGCTTGATGTTAATGTAGGTCATATTTTTTTGCAACAGAACTGATGCGAGTTAAAATCGTAACTATAATTACTGTTGAAAAATTACGAAGGATAAGGAAAAGATTAACTGTTCTAATTAAATTTAAAAAAAAGTAATAATTTGTGTCAGAAATGACATCTTGCCGGATGCATTCTTGAGCTATTTTTGGGAGCTCTTGATAAGAACCTTGCTTTTACACAAGCAAGACTCAATAAATGTAAATAGACATTGAAAGATACATGTTAATTAAAACATGGTATATAATGCACAACTCTCCTTCAGATGTTTGACTGGATAAAGAACTCGAGACACTTTTAGTTCCTGACATGAAAATTATTGTTATATGATAATTGTACTAAAGTATTGAAATCAATGACTGTAGACACTAAAGTTTGCTTGAAAGTACAAATAGAAGACAGGTGCTTCCAACATCGAAAATTCATTATAAAACTCTTCAATCTATAAATGCAAAATTTAAAGCATAAAAATTTCACCAACAAAATTTTAGTTAGGCACTCTTACAACTATTACTTTGAAAGAGATAACTTCAGTTGACTAGACTGTTCAATGGAAAATTGCATGAAAATTGAGATGGATCATTTGAGAAAAAGCTTACATCGTGAAAATCGCAGAACATCCAGACACAGAGTGAGCAAGAGGTTACAAAGATAAAAAGTGTGAACTTTTTTACCAACAAGATTGCAAAAGAGCATGGATAAATTACTGAGAACAACCACGCATTGAATTTCACAGGTATTATTAAGCGGATGTAAAAATGATCGCAAGTCATAGTAGTTCAGAGTAGTTGTCAGATTCAATTGCAGCACATTAAGTGATTCCTAGGTCATGGAATCATGAATCAAAGGACCATATGCATACAATTTTCAGCCAACTATAGAAAAACGTTAGTATATTGACAACTGTGAGTTAGAATTATCAATAAGGTTTTAAAAAGTTACATCAGTTGTTTGCCGTAAAAGATTTAACATTATTTTGAGAAAATGAAGATATTCACACTCTCAGTATACTCAAAAAGGGCTTTACATGAGTAAAAAAATTCAGTATTGATATCTAATGGCAGATGCCGGATAAAAAGCTTTGGAAAGTGCGAAAAACATGGGAAGCCATAGGGTCGTCAAAAAGTTTTGATACATCAAACCTGAAGAAATGTAGTTCTGACCTTACTGCTCTGAGTTACTGATATGTTTAATCACATTCATGAAAATGAGTTTTTGAATAGTTATCCACTGAATAAAAATTTTAAAACAACCTATGACCTTGAAGTCAGTTCTCCTAAAATTACAAACAATGATAAAAAAAAAGGAATATAAAGATTTTCAGGTGCAAAAGCAACTGTAATTTTGTAGTAAAGAGCGGAATAAAAAATCAAAATCACATACATATGAATTGGTGTTACAGGGTTTTCATTCACTAAATTTCATTGATCATTTCTTTCTGGCAAGTGTGCCCGTAGAAAAGAGCTTAACATCAAGGATGGTGAGTAAGTCTGACATTTAATTCACCCATGTTAAAAAATCAAAGTCTGAATGCTCAGCATAAGGTTTTTGAAATTTGTCTATGTCTGCCTTGAATTGAGAAGTCACTTTCCTTCTGCTCTAAAATATTTACTGGAAATTTCAAAGGGAGGAGGGGACAGGAATACAAAAGGTAGATTTTCCTTTGACTTGACTCAAGATGAAAGAAAAAAAGCTCTGATTAGACGAGGTGAAAAAATGATCAACGCATATTAATGGTTAAAACAGACAATGAAATGCAAGATACTAAAAAATCAATAGGACAGAGGCAAAAAATACAGAATTGATTCTAACATGATGAACAGCGTCCACAAGATATAAGGTCAGTTGTGAGGAAAGTACATACGCTCACAAAAACTTCAGATTTAATTTTTATTCTCTTCAAATTAGGTAGATAAGTAAGTAGGTGCGTAAAAAATTTACAGAGGTCTCTGGTTGCAAGATTGCAAAATCCACTTTTCAATAGTGGACTAACAGGTAGTTTCTAAAAAGCTGGACTTTCTGCAGCTATTTTGATAATTTACGTGGGTGTGCAGGCTTTGAAACTAAACAAGGCTTTGATCGTGCACAAATGAATGAACTAACAGGATCAAAACATTTCATTGGCATATATTTATGAAAATTATTTTACGCATTCCATTGAGCTAACTCAAAGCTGCTAGATATAATTGAAGTCTTACATGTAGAAATGACAGGCGTGCTATTTATTTAAAGAGGAACATCAGTCATTTTTATATATAAGGCTAAACATTCTTCATTTTCGGTAAGATATGATTTGGAAGGATGTACATTAATTCATTAATGGAGGTATTGTTGCAAGGCACTGAAAATTGACACTCCTACCACCGAGTGAGAAAACTCCTTCCAAATGAGATGTTAGATTTAAAAATTAAAAATGAATACGGGATTAATGCAAGTTACATTTGTTAAACATTTACATGATACAAGTAGGATTAACACTTCAGAGAAAAGTGGACACGATAATAATTGGCATTTTCTGAAATTTTCCGCTGACTACGGCAAAATTTAAATTTATACAGCCTAATTGGCTCCACCAAAAATAAATGAGAGATTTTTATTAATATTGTGTCACCTCATCCTTGGGCTACCATGTGTGAAAGTTTTTTTTCTGGTTTTCACCTAAAGAGCCTTCTATTTAGACATGCTAAGTGAACCAAAACTAGACACTTCTGATACTCTTCAGATTGATAATCTCGGATGTTAACAAATTTGAGCGCCAAAGATTTCTGATATAATCGTAAGTATTTTCTTGCCTCATTTTAATTTTCAATGAGTATACCTACCTACTTACTCAAAGTAATGATACGAAAACATGATTACAGCATAAGAACTAATTTTATCTTGATACATGATATGGAACCATTCAACAACACCTTATCATGAAAAAATGAATGTTTTTAGCAGCTCTACTACAGGCGTTGTTCCTGATAAAATCAAAAATCAGATTCACAGCTAGCATGTCTGTCAAAACGTTTCTTGATTTAAAAAAAAAAAAAAAAAAAAAAAAAAAAAAAAAAATTAGGAGCAAGCAAAGTAGAGCAAAAAATTTAAAAAAATGAAAGCTGGGCATTTGATAAACAATTCATATAAAACTTCAATTGAGAGCATTAGATGTTAGCTACTGTGACATGAGTGACATAAAAAATTGACCATCCAAGTGGCATTAACAATTACATTTCAGAAACTCAAGTATTGAATACAGAAATTATAACTCACTATGTTTCCTGGTACAGTCTATCAACATGATACCATACTGAATCAGTATGACATGGACTGTATACATTTTGCAATTAGGAACTACAATTTCTGGCTCAGTTCAGAAAAAAAGTGCGTACCACTTGTTTCCCTTTGCACATGAGTGGTTTTACGAACGAGCCAGATATTGTAGTTCCTGAATGTAAAATGTAGTCCACATAATACTATATCAATCAGTATGATATCATGCTGGCTCAACTGGATATCAGTATGATAACATTGTAGTAGGAAGAACCAGTTTGATATCACACTGAATTAGCCAATTTACAGCATGATCTCATGTTGATCGACTTTACCAGGATTTTCTGGTCATAGTCTGTGTAATTTACAGAAATAACTGGGAGTTTTTTAGGGAGAAGATAGTTAATTCACAATCAGTTTAAGTTTTTATCCGCCTTTTATCTTATGAGACTCTTAGACCTTTTTGTGAAATTCGTTTTGTTCCACGTTTACATATTTTTCTGAACTAAAAATTGGTCAAGTATCTGGACAGTTATTTAATCAGCCTACATCAAATGTATCCAAAGTTACTTCTACACTATCTTATGAAAGCAATGTCAAACTGAAACCTCCATTTGTTCAAGACAGAATCCTTCAAACTATTATACTTTTTACGTCTTTTGGGCAAAAAAAAAATAAAAAAAAATAAAAAAAATAACAGCTGCCTTATTGCTAGTAGGTACCTGCTGAGAAAAAGCCCACAGACCAAATGTCATGATTAGTAGAGCCACAATAATGAGATTTTTTAATGAGTTTACAAGCAGCAAACCTTGATGGCCAACGGGTAGCTTAATCATGGATTACAATAAACCAAAGCTCTGATTCAATTGATAAGAGCGATTTTGGTATAAAATAGAGCAACAAAACAGCATATGTACACGTCGCAGGAAAATAGTAAAATAAGGTATTTTGTCAAATGCCTGCGCAAATAGTCAAATATTCTTACTTGGATTGAAATTTTGATTATTTTGCTAATTTTAGACGAAGTAATTCTTTGCTCATGTACAAAGTAATTCTTCCGTAAACATATTTGGCATCATAAGATGATAAGGAATTATTTCCAATCCTTAAATAAGCATTTGTCTCAAAATTTTCAGCATGTCATAAAATACAAAATGCTTAAAAAGTTGATATTAAATACATTGGTCTAATGAGCAAAATGCAAGAAAATTTCGTAGATTTGATGAATTCTTATGTTCCAAACATCCAGAACTCGACAGCTCTTCATCAAAAACATACAAAACTCCATAAAGTATCAAAACTTGACTATCTGCCGGCTAGTTTGATAACATGCCTGACTTTAATGTTTGGCTGCAACATATATAAGAGTTCCCAGACAAAACAGTCGATTTAACAAATGCTAAACTCAATTGGAACAGTCTCAACAATTTGACCATTTCCAATGCGAGATGAAGAGAATAGGGACAGCACCATGGAGCCAAAAGTACCCACACATAAATTATATGAAATTTGACAGACCGTATTTACACATATACATACATTACATACAGTTTATATACATACGAACTTACATACAAAATAAATATACAGACAAAAACTCGATTGTAGCAACTGGGTATGTTGCTTGACTTACTTCATAACTCGATGTTCACAGGTTTTATGAAAGTAAGTGGAAACTCACACAAATTTAGAGCAAATTAGAACAGAACTATGATATTTTCAGGATGCTCCTAGGTAAAACAGAAATAAAAACTTTTTGATGAACTTATATTTTGCATATTTTCTCTATCTTGAGGGGGAATGGAGAAGAGCCCCCAGCCACCTAATCATACCCTGAAGAACAGATTACAAGGAACTATCAGTAAGTCCTCTCCAGAGGGGTATCCTCCAAAATTGTAGATGTTCGTCCCTAAAAATAGTACCTATCCATTAACCAGGGAGCATTCTGCAGATTTCAAATTTTGATGTTAACTTGTTCTAAAATTATGAATAAGCCCAACCTGTGTTGAAAACTTTATGGCAATCAACAGTAAAGCTCAGAAATGAAAGCTGACTATTACGGCTAGGCTGGCTATTACGGTTAACCGAGGCAACACTTGGAAGATGAAAAAGTCATTCTTCATACGCAACTGTACATGCGAAAAGGGACCCAGGTCCACAGCAGCAAATTTTATCTAGCTTGATTTAAAAATCTACCTATCTGAAAAAGTTAAATAATAATCCAAAGAATAAGTTGCTAAGGGTTTATTTCATTTTAGTGCCAAAGGGAGAGGGAACTTGTATTTTACGCAGACAAAATGGAGTTTTGAACTTGAGAGAATTTTTTTCTTCGGTTTTTTTTTTTTTTAAAGATAATGCTGTCTGAACTCCTAACGTCAGACTAGGTATCTACTTCAGTTTGATAACTCGTAGTTGACTCTCATTTTTGGCAAAAACATTTAATTCATTCATCTACCTACACGTAAATGCCAACAATTTTATTTTCAGTTTCTTTAATAGTGGAGCAGGCCCCTTTCTCTATAAATGGTCACGTGGTACAAAAAATATACATAGTAGACTTTACTGTTGGATAGCAGTACTGACCATGGGTCTCACAGAAAATCATAAGCTGATTGCAGCTGATATTACAGAGTACAGAAAATTGAAACATAAGTACTGACAAGAAATTGATTGTGTACGTCTGTCTACATAGATAGACAATAGCTGTAATCAGAGGCCAGGAGTAGAGAAAATGTTTTCTTTACAATCTTAGTGGAACTATAATATGAGGAGGCTTCTGAATTTTATTGATCTGATAACGGAGAGAAATGACCTAAACTTTGAGAATGTCCTAAATTCTTTAAAAATAAAAGACTGAACAAAGAAAAAAGATATTGCGGCTTTCAAAGTTTTTAGAAGTTGATGCAGGATTCACCACCTTACACTTCCTGCAAATCAGGATAATGATGGAGGGACTTAATCTGTTGGAGGTTTCTGTCCGATTTAGGAAATAGATGTCATGGGTCCTAATCAAACTGTGCTACCCTTAGAGAACTGATCAATTCCATCAGAAAAATTCGAATTCAACACAATACCTTGAGCCTGACATAACATTGAAATTGATGGGGAAGCCTAGAGATTAAACCTGAAAAAGGGATTTCCTGCGCAGGAAGTGAGGAGGGGACCTGTCAATACAAGAAAACATTCTTTCGGTGAATTAAGAATTTAAGTACAAAGGGCACATGAGGTAAAAAAATAATTTCTCCTCATGTGCTCATAAGTGATATTGCACAGAAAAAAATGACAATCCAACAGATATTTCATAAAAAGTAGGGACAAATGAAACTTTTTTTGCACAAATTTCTTACTCTGTTTAAAAGTAGGTAATTTTAATGCCTGGAATTGATCCTTACCATTTGCATTTTACAATATATATTTAATGGACATTTGTTAATGCAATGCTACAGGCACTGCTCACAGTCATGGATGAAAAGAGCCCTTTCAAGCACACAAAAGAGAAAACAAACATTTCAAGAGACAATTTCATTTTGCAATCGATTTAAGTTTTAAAGAAATGGGACATCAAAATAAGATCTAAGAGAACCTTAAAAAAAAACATAATTAAGAAAGGTACGGAGGAGACTTGGGTGGCACCAAATTTTGACAGAAATATAATTTTTTTTTTTTAGAATTGCGCTGGTTTAGTTATGGTTGAAATTTTGCTAGAGTTCATCTACTTTATTTCCAACAGTTTTTATGTATTAAGAGGACCTAAATGACTACCTACTGAAACAATGGAAATTTGTGAGTTAAGAAAATATTCTACAATTGTTCCTAGAATGTTGGCACTTCAAAAATTACTAAAGTCTGCGCTATTCTACATTCCATGTAGTATGCAAAAAAATCAAAATGCATTGAGCAAGGAGATTCGACGGTCAAGGGAATTCGAGTAAGGATAACTTAGATGGCATCAATCAAGATCAGCCTGACAACATTTCGCAGTCGCCTAATTTTATCATGTATTGAATTTTGTTTCCTAAGAACAGAGTTGAACAAAATAAATCAAAACCTGCTGACAGTTTTTCTTAGGGCATCCGGAAAACTCACAAAATTTGCATACCTCTCTCGTTAAAAAAAAAGAAAACACAATAGGAAATTTGGCATATTAAAATGTAGATAGGCTGATCTTGGTTCGTGCTGTCAGACTGGACTGCATTAAGTAGGCAATTAGAAACTAAACTTTCTGGCTCAGTTAAGAAACAACATATATAGCATTAGTTTCCCTATGCACATATGTCTTCACACAGTTAAGCCAAAACTTTTACTTTCTAACTGCAAAATGAAGTCTAACTAATCTCTTGAGTATCACACAATGACAGATAATTGAACATGGCAATTTGTTTTGAATAAGTTTTGATGCATAGGGGATCTCCTGCCACAATTGTAAAAAGCTGATGAATAAGATTCTCCTTTGACTGATAAGTTCACCCACTTAGGATAACATAAATTTCTTTCATTCCTCTGATTACTTTTTTTAGCTGTACTTTAACCGGAGAAAAATATTACATGTCATTTGACTTTAGGAAGCTAGCACCTGCCTCAACAGTAATGAAAGAGCTGGTATCTTATGCTCATGCTGCAAAGCAGTAGTGCAAGCTTTTTTGGCAGCTACGTGAAACTGGAAATGGACCCGATAACGGTCGTTCAAGGTGAAGGTTCGTTTTAAAAAATGCTGCTACCAGAAGGAATTAGTTTACGCATTCAGCTAGCTAGAAATGGACAGCCAAATTCACAATTTGCCATGGGTCTATTCCAGCAAGAGGTAATAATTAGAAAAAGGAGTGAGAGCTAGAAATTTAATGATTAATAAATGCTTGTGAGGCGCAACTTAAATCTATGTCGGTACTGTAAAAAATGGCCAAAATGAGATGTATGAGCCCACCGTTGAATTTAATCTGTAATATTTAAAGAATATAGCACCTTTTTGAATAAAATTACAACATTGGGTGTCATCAACGCAAGAAAAATTAAGTCAGTTAAGTAAAAAACAGTACAAAATATGAAATAAGATCGGAACCGAGACGGAAAATGACTCCTATAATCAATATTACATCGGGAATTTTAAAAAATATGAAATTTCTAAGACTTAATTATCATGAGTTCTTGGCGACGGGTGGAGAGTCAAATATTAATCTGGCATCTTCAAATTGTTTAATAGATATTTGGGATTTTTTACTTGCTAAACTGATATGCCAAGATTAAAGAGAGATGGAGAAAAAGGTACGTATTTTAGTGGATGGAAAGACACCTACGTCTGATGCAAGCTCTCAAAGGCTCATAAGTTGTCAAAATTGATATCAGTAAAATGTTGGTTCCAGAGTGTTAAATACATATTTTATGCTGCATGGGAAGGTTTTGTTTAATTCATTTACTTGCATATGAGTGGGCCGACAAACAATCTATAAAATTCACAGAACAGAATGATTGTCTAGAATTCTCCAGTGCACAACCAGAAGAGAACTATTCTTAGAAATAATTTGATCAAATTTGAGCTAGAAACTCCTTTCTTAGAGGAAGCTTCAGTGATAATTGGAACCAGAGAGAAAGAAGGTCACGCCAGAAACGGACATGCCATATAAACAAGACCTTTCATGATGAAACGACGGGAATTACACACGTCCTAAAATGAACTTATCATTTGCACTTAGCTTATGGCTAGTTTCTGAAAAAATAGGCAAAATGTTTATGGCAAAGAAAGATACAAAGAAACACCAAAAAGAGCTGAAGATGATGGCTTTGAGTTACATTGATGGATAGCAAAATTAGACCCAAGTAAGTAACATTGGTTGATGAGCAATTGACGGACGAAATGGTACGGTACGATGTGCTGCTAAATAATTGAAGGTAAAGCTCACCAATGTATGAATCTGCACCATGGAGACAGGGGGATTTCTTTGGATGAATTGCACAGAGATGATTAAGAGTTGCTAGAGACCGATGAGACAGCTCCAGCGTCACGGACGAGGCAACGAACAAATTGATCCTTCTTTACACTTACTTCGTGAAAGAATGTAAGAGTTAGTGATGGCCACAACCTAAGAGTTGAAAGCAACACTTGCGAATCCGATACTCAAACGGAGCATTGTTTACACTTAAAAAGAGTGGTAAAAATTTGAAAAATAAACTAAACAGTAGGTAAATTAAAGCACCGTGCAGCAATAACTCTTTTTCGGTTTCTCTGGACTAAAATTCATTTCTCGTATAATTTCAGCAAATACTTCATTTACATTTGTCCTATTTTTGGCACTGGCTTCTACGAACGGGCACCCCCAAAGTTGTGCCAGACTGCTGCCTTCAACGGTCTGGACTTCGCGCTGATGCTCCAGGTCAACTTTGTTTGCGACGAGTAATATGGGTACTCGCTCAGAGCCTTTGACTCTGGTGATTAATTCTTTCATAGGTTTAATATCTTGAAACGTTTGATGATTCGTTAGGCTGTAAACAACGACGAATCCTTGACCATTTTTAATATACAGATCGCGCATACTAGCGAATTGTTCGGTCCCCGCTGTGTCCAAGATTTCTAGGACACACGGGGAGTTGTCTACTTCGATTTCTTTGCGGTAAAAGTCCTCTATGGTTGGATCGTATTTCTCCATAAATTTTCCGGACACAAATTGAACAGTAAGTGCACTTTTCCCAACCCCACCCGAACCAAGAACTACGACTTTGAATTCACGCATCTTGATCTGGCGTTGACCGATCACTCGAAGCACATCTATAATTTTATCCACGCACTGTCTAGTTCCACGAAACGCTTCTTAGTTGTTCCAAGACACCAAAATGCACAGATTATTTGACAAAATTAACAGAAACCCGAGCGATGACGACAAATTATTTAAACGTCAACGCCATTTTGCAATGACAGTGAGTCAATGTTCAGGAATATTTGTATACGGCATACTTCCTGATTGAATCTAACTACTCGTCGAAAACGCAGCACGAGTCCAAGAGTGCAAAGTCTAATCTTTTCACTTCTAGTAGAGGAAGGTAATTTTATTTTGACTCTCAGGCAGCAAACAACTGATTAATTAAAAATCAGAAAGAGGGTGATTCTCGGAAAAAAGGAGCGCTATTCACCTGATGACGTAAACAAACAACAAAAACACTGATTTCGAGCTTCGACACGATGACCAATGGCGGCCTTGGATTTAGACACTTTCGCCGTATGTACCAACTTTTAGGGATACATAATGCATCGACTCTCGTCAGTACATACATAGTACTTTACATAGAACTTGTTGTGTATGTGCAAAAGTATGTATTTAGATCAAAGACATAAAATTTAGATAGGCGCAATTCCTGGGGAAAATGTATAACAAATATTAAAAAAAAGGAAGAAGAAAATTGAAAAAAAAAAAAATAGATAAATAAATTATCAGTTGTACGTACTTATATGCTTAATAGAGAAATTAACAAAATAAATATATCATAAAAAAGAAGATGAAAACTCAAAAAAAGAAACATTGTCAGTTACTGTTCATTACCTATTCTTTAGGCGTATGTGATCTGTGTGTGTGTTTATTCAGGCATTACGTGACGCACTTTTTCTGATTTCTTGGCACTTTGACCATCACCCCCTCCGCCCTTTTAATGCACCCGTAACGCAGCCCTACAACTCCCCCTTTTGAATTACGTAACGCTGGTCTAATCCCCCCCCCTCCCCATTTAAAGCAATTAAGAAACCGCTGAGAGAACCGCTTGAGTAATTTTCGGGGTTTTTTTCATATTTTTCTGAAATACGACGCGAAGAGATAAACCAAAGGTGTGAAAATATGTGGGTCACGCGCACACTGCCGTGCTTTGGAAAAACGCCGTATGAACTTTTATGCGTTGCCAAATTTCTTTTAATAAAACACGAATTTCCTGCTAAACTTACAAATGTTTTTCAGATAATTTTACTCGCAATTTTAATAAAAGTTCTTGAAAATTTCAGGGAAAAATATTCATAAATTTCCTCTATGATAAACTTTTTATCGAAGGAAATTTGGCAACTCTCGAAAGTTCAAACGGCGTTCTTCCGTAGCACGCGCTGTAAAGATTCATTCGGGAGGAGAAAAAGTTTATTCCCCTTTCGAGTTTCTTTTTCAGAGGAGTTTGACAAAAAGCGTTATTCTGCGGTTTTTTTTTTTTTTTTTTTTTTTTTTTTTTTTTTAAACACATTTTTATACTCAGTGGAAAATGGAGGGGAGGGGTGTCATGCAAAACTTCACGAATGAAGACCATTAGTTTCTTTGCGTAATATACCTACAAATTCACCAATAAAGCTTTCCGTGCAGGAGCTTTTTTCAGTTGAACATTTTCAAGAAAATCGAATTTCTACGCTAGTTAATTGAAATAAAATTTAAGGTATAACTTTCGAAAACCATGAACTCAAAATAGGAACTAGGAGTATGATTCTAGTTTCCTAGCACAAGGGAATCGTGTGCTCCTTCATTATTTTGTGTATGCAACATAGACAACCGTCGAGTTAGAATAGTTGTACGTTCAATGTAATGAAGGCGCACTAGTTTGCTGTCGGCCAAGTATGCACATAAATTAAATAAATCAATTAAAGAGAAGTGAAATGTAAGTAAAAAAGTAAATCTAGATTTTTACAATCGTATTTTATTGAAGGTTTCCTTTGACATTACTACAATCATTCGACGGACTGTTCTTAACAAAAAAAAAACCAAGTAACATGCATTTGGAACGGCTGACACAGGTCGAAACTTCATTGCTTTAAAAAGCCCGATATGAAAACAAACATTCTGTCAAATTTTCAAATTTTAAATTTTTGTAAGGAGAAAGTTGTGCCTCTAAATAAGCTCAAAACTATCAATTATTTAATTTCAAAAGCGAAACCACTTATATCCGTTTGCGACGTTGCAGACTTCCTGTCATACTTTATTTTCTCATCAGAAAATTAATCGACTTGATATTTTGAAAACTTCCTTGATTTTTCATGGCAGAATGTTTTGTAAAAATTTCAAAAAAGCTGAATTTTATATTCTCTTAGAAAATATTAAATTGTAAGTCAAACGGAGATTTTGAAACACCGCAATAATGATACGTGGTTTCGTACTTTATCCTGCTACTTTATAGTAGCTCATCTGTTATCCATCTCATTCCGCGTTTCTGTTGTTTTGAGACTCGTAATAAATCTTTGCGCGAGTTGAAGCAAGCAAGGCGAGTGACTGAAAGGTATTATAGTAATGCTTATAGAGAGTCGAGAAACGAGATAAAGGGGGAAAAATTGGAGGCAATGGAACGGAATTCCGGATGTGTTAATTGGTAAGAGTGCAGATGAGTCAGTACCACAGTTTCCAGATCGTGCCGAAAATAACTTTTCCCGATTACATATTACCAGTGGGCAATACTGCCGTGCTAAGGAAAAATGCCGTATGGGCCTTCAGACGTTGCCAGATTTCCTTCGATAAAAACCGAACTTACTGGGAGAATTGTGAAAGTTGATTTCCAAAATGTTCAGACAATTTTGTACGCAATTTTATCTAAAATGTCGGAAAATTTCAAGGACAAATATGCATGAATATTTTCAAAAATACATGTTTTATCATGGGAAATTTGGCAACTCTCGAAGATTCATACGGCTTTCTTCCTTAGAACGGCAGAATAGTGCGGAATTTTCAAATCACTCTCGAAAACTTGGCAAAGCGTGTCATGATGGGCCGTGCTGTTTTGCGCTTTTGCCATGCCGACACAGGACACAGGAATCTAGACATCCAGACGAATCCGCGCTGTCAGCAGAGATGCCAGTTTTCCGGGAAAACCTCTCTTTTTGAAGAGCGTTCGGCGAGAGCATTCCGACAATTTTTAAATGTCACGCTGCCTCGTGACTTGAACACATCTGACTGATCACTGATCGAGGACCGACCTATTTTCCGACCAATCAAAGGTTAAGGTAGGTATTCGAAATTGGTGAAGATCAAAATATAGAAATTCTATGGCAATTTCATTAAGGTTGGTTAAGAAATTCAATGAATTTTGCTACAATTTTGATCAAAATTTGATGGGCTAAAGAGAAAAAATTATAAAAAAATGGAAAACACACAAACAAACAAATCTTGATGCAATTCAATGGAAAAATTTGATTGGATAATTAAGATGAAAATTCAATACAAATCATACCTCTCTGAAACATAAAATCATAGAGTAATACCTAACGCATAGCGCCTCGAAGGCTAGGACCGCGAAGTAGCCATGGACTATAGCCTTTTAGTTTGATAAAAATTTGACAAAATGATCAAATTGTAGGTAAAATATGGTATTCGTTGATAATACGCATTTCAACTTTTTGAATAGAAAAAATAGTGGTGCATATCAAATTGCTCAACTGTGCCTTTAGGTACAATCCGCGAGAAATCGGCGCGCAAAAGTGTCATACTAACGATGCGTCCAGTACTTATGAATTATGATAAGCTGTCCGTATGGTTGATACTGCTAGGAACCTTAGACCGACTACTAGGTTTCCTGCGGATCACATACATCTTTTTTTCGCACAGGTGAAGTGCGAATCCACCATCAACTCGTCACCGGGTTGAAAAAAGGGCGTATCAATGAGCCCGGGCCGGAAAAGCACAGAATTCGTCGTTTCCTGGTAAAAAGAAGGTAACTCTATTACAAGGTTGCAAATCTGGCTCAAATAATTTCGTTGACTACAAAGAGAAATGCAAAAGGTCGAGCCGCCTCTCGCAAGAATATTGCCTCGCGTGAACGCAGCGCGCGTGATAGCGCCTACCATAGCGCCTTGATACAACTATTCGTACTTAATGACATCCCGGGTTGCATACTCAAATTATTGAAGGCGTTTTGATTTCTCTACCACTCGTAGTCGTAGGTATGCGTGCTTCTCTACTTAGCGTTGCTGACACTGACTCGGATTGAGATACTCTCTTGGCAGAGCTTTAAATTTTCTTGATTATGATTAAGAGGAATCGCATTCAGAAAAATCAGATTCATTACGACGCCAAAAAAAAAAGATCCTTGGTAGTTTCTCGTTGTGCCGGAGGAAAATTCTCGTCACGCGAGAGAAACAATTCAATACATCGAAATGAAATTCCAGTGATAAAATAAACAAAATTTGTCTGATATTCGCATGAGATCAGGAGAAAAATCACTGGGATCCTCACTCTTAAATGCCTAATCTGTTGGTAGGTAACAGTGTTATCTGCGAGAGAAAATTTGGCAACATGATTTTTTCCCCAACACAATAATTCGAAAATTTCTTCCAGAATTGCATCATTTTCGAGAAAAAAAATTTAACATGAGATAAAATCAAGCAACGTAAAATGCAGGTCCTCTGCGGTCCGTTTTGCGGACCCTTGAGTGAGCTCATCGAGGGATCATATCCTATCGATAGCCAGAAGCGATTTTCCAAACTATGAAAGGAGATGAAATATAAATAGGTCAAATTGCATTTCACGTTGCCTAATTTTTCCTCTTGTATCATGTTTTTACGGAAAAATTTGGCAGCATAATCCCTTGAAAATTTTTAAGAATATTAACTCTACCTATAGATTTCGAAGCATGCACTTAAAAAATTTCAAGTCAGAATATTGCTCAGTTATTCATATTAAGCAAAGAAAACACAATAGAAGTCCATAGGCGACCTCTGACGAGATTAGGCTGATCCAGTTTGAAATTGTCTCTGTTGATTAATGGATATACAAATCTGTGATGCGGAGACAAAATCATGTGTCCGGCAGGTGAGTAATTCGCTTACGGAGCGTTTTTCGACGTCACACAGCGGGACGAGTTTTGGGAAGAAGTCGGACATGAAACTTGACAAAAATCGTAAAATTTTACGTTTATCTCGTCACATTTTGGATTTTAAGAGGTGCTTGCGGTGAAAAATTTTACGAGAAAACTAATGAAACTACTTTCAAAGCATCATTATTTTCGATATACGATTTTAAAGTCTTAAAATCATGTTTGACCTCTCCAATTGACTCGGTCCACTGTGCGTTCTGGAAGGTGTGGATACGGCAACGATGTCG